AAAAAATTCAGTTTATCAGTCACACTAGCCACATTTCAAGAGTTCAATAACCACCTGTGATGGTGGTCACCATATTGGACAACACAGAAACTTATCAAACAGCACTGGTCTGGAGGAGGGAGTGGCTTATGTTTGTGCAAAGGTTTCACAGAGACAGCTTAAATAACTTGGAGAAAAATGATGCCACCAGCGAAGGAGGAATGAAGAGAGTGGCTGGGGGCTTCTGACCCTCCTGACTTGTCCTTAAACACCAATTCTGCAGCCTGTTGAATTCTGTGCTTCATGTATGTGCTAGAGGCCAGTGGGCTTTTTGTGTATCCAGGGGCAAAGATCTCCGCCCCAGCTGTAGAAAGAATCCAGGGCAAGGAGGTAGTATCTTTCTGCTCTGGGCCAAAACATTGAAGGAAGAGATACAGATGTGTGAGGAGAACTGGGGTAAGTATGAAAATTTGCTAAGAAGGCAAGTAAGTGCACGTGGAAATGTTTCTTTGTAAATGTCTATAGATTGAATGCAGACCTCATGTCAGTCTATGCCCTTTTGCATGTATTTCCTTTCCACATCTCAACAAATCTACCACAGTGTGAGTGCTCATCCCTCCCTAAGAGACATGGTTCAGAGAGCATTAAGGGTCTGAGAGGTTGAACCTCCGACCTATGACCAGGCCAGGGGTCAGTGGCCAAAATGGGATCTGGGGACTCCCTGGTGGCACACGGGGTTAAGCATTCAGCACTACAAAGCTATCTGCAGCCACTGCAGCAAGAGTTCCATCCCTGGCCTGGGAGCTGACCCACATGGCATAGCAGACCTCTCCTGTCTGGTCTGCTGCTCCCCTCAGCAGTGTATTTCAGTACATATGCCTGTTCTGCTCCCCACTCGGTCTCTGGTGAATCCTCTCAACCCCCTGCATCGCTGGCCTGCACCCCAGCTCTTGTATGCATAAATAAATACATATTTAAAAAAAAAAAACAACAACAAAATGGGATCTGAAGTTTTCCTGGTACAATTTCATTGCTCTTTTTCTTCCCCAGTCCCTACTTCTAACTTGGGGAGGTTTGCAGGAAGGGTTTTGTTTTGTTTTCTTCTAGGAACTTTCTGGTAACATGTGAACTCTTGCACTAGTTAGAACTTTTGGTTCCACTAAAACTGGCTTAGGCAAAAAGGGGGAATTTATTGGTTCAAGTGACAAGACAGTATCTTTAGATCCCAGATCTCAAAATTTGTCTTTCCCACATTCTGACCTGTGTTGTCTTTATTCCCAAGCAGGTTATTCCTCTGAGATGGAGCCAGAAGCCCCAAGCTCACGTCTAACAATACGGCAACTTCTAGGGAAAGACAAAACCCTCTATTCCCTCTATTATGATAATTCCAGCAAAAAACCTGGGGCTACCTTTCAGTGGTTTGATTTGGGCCAGGTGTTCACTTTGAACCAGTTACTGAGGTCAGAGAAAGACCTGATTCCTCAGGTCTAGATCACATGCCCACACCCTCAGCTAAAGGTTGGGGTTAACTTTATTTTATCCACTTGATGGAATGAGTAAGGATCCTCACCCAAAGGCATGTTATTTATTTATTTGTTTGTTTGTTTGTTTGTTTTGTTTATACATGCACTGGGTACAGTCAGAAGCGCGGGAGGGTGAGAGAATTCACCAGAGCCAGAGCAGGAGCAGAGCAGGCTGAAGGACCGAAGTACACTGCTGAGAGGAGCAGCGGGCGGCAGGAGAGGTCTGCGCGCCATGTGGGACCCTCCTCCAGTGGCCGGGGAACAGCCAGGGATCGAACCCCGGGCCGCAGAGGCCGCGGGCAGCTTCGCAACCCAGCGCTCAACCGCTGCGCCACCGGGGAGGCCCAGAACTTGGATTCTTGATGACATTGTTAAACAACTGAAAGTACTGTCCCTGAACTCTAGATCTCTTGTGATGTGAAACGATTAATTTGAATTTCCTTATTGCTTAATTACTTAAGCTTGGTTGTGCAAAGGCATCCAAACTAACTATATGTAGCAGGCTCAGGGCACAAGTGGTACAATGCCAGACTACAACTCTTCTCCCCATTCTTGTGTGGCCTCCTAGGGATTCAGAGTCCTGGGAGAGAGTACTCACTGGCCAAATTTAGTTTCCTGTGGTAATATAGTAGGGAGGTGGTAATCTGGTCCACTAGCCTTCAATAGTGGGTGACAGTCACTAAAATTTATCAGTTGAACACACAATGGAGTAGGGGTGCACCCAAATAGAAACTGGGAGACCAGAAGAAGGGGAAATAAATGTTGAGCATCCAATGTCCACTTTTGGTCCCAATGAAATTCATGACTCATGTCACTTTCCTTACAAAGCATCCTGTGCTTGCCCCGTTCCTCATCTGACTCCTCATCTGTCTCTGAAGCTATGCCATTTACTCTACCTGGAAGGACTGTCCTCCCTTTCGCACCTGTCAACCCCTCTCATTGTGAAAAGCTGTCAAAGGCCCTTTCCAGTCAGATGGAGAGCTGGCTTCTCACCAAGAGGAAGGAGCCAATGTGGGACTGGCCCTGGGCCACGGTCTGTCTCAGGTGCAGCCAAGAACTGGCAAAGGTGCTTACTATGGAATGCTCTCCTCTACATGTCTCATAGTTTTGCTTTCATCGTGGTCCCCCCCCCATCATATCTTCTTTATTTCTCACACCAAAATATACTTCCATCAAATAAGTCATTACAAATCATATAATTTTTCTAGATAATAAAATGGGCTTAACTCACTAATACATCGTAGCAAAATAATTCCCGAAAACACTATGAAGGCAAGATAAATAATCTCAAATAAAACAGGGGAATCACATTTAAATTATTTCAGAAATAGGCTATCACCATTATGGCTCAACTCAGAACTGAAACATCAAAGTATAGAAACCCATATAAGGAATCATAGAATTCTGAATACATGGCTAAGTTCTTTCTGGGAGAATTTACCCACCATAGATGACTCAACATGGTCTTAATAACTGGCACATCAATATGTTACCTTTGCAAACAATCATTGAAAAGGCACCTGACCTCCTACAATCCTCCTCTTGCTGTGTTTCTGTTCTGGGAAGTCATCCCCAGCCTGCCTGTATTCCTGTCTCCAAGATGCACACTGCTCTCTTCTGTCTTCCTCTCCCACAGATGACTGTCAGTTAAGACTTCTTTGTTTGAAAATGACCAAAGTCCTCTCAAATTGCTGTTATTGATTCATGTAATTGAAAACTCTTGAGGAAATTTCTCATTTCCAGACTAATCAGGATCAATCCTCCTGTATTTGTTAGCAAATGCTGGGTAAGAACTTACCCTAAAACTTATGGCTTAAGACACCCCTAATCAATGACCATTTCTCACAGTTTCTGAGGTTCAAGAATTTCAGAGCAACTTAGGGTGGCATTGACTTGAGGCACCAAATGGCAGCCACCATTTCTGAGGTGATTCATTCACGTGGCTGTTGCTGGCAAGAAGCTTTACTTTTCCCCCACGGGTCTGTGTGCAGGTCTACTTGAGTGTCCTCACAGCATGGCAGCTGGCTTCGCCCAGGGCAGGTGATCTAAGAAACCAAGGCAAGATATGCAATGCCTTTTGTGACCTGAACTTGGAAGTCAAGCACTATCACTTCTGCCATATTCTATTAGACACACAGAACTTCTGTGATTCAACATGGGAAGAGATAATAAAACGCACGAATCCTAGGAGGTGAGACTCCCACGGCACCCCTCCATCTTTCCTTTCCCACTGTGTAGGCTTCATTCTCAGGCAGGTCATGCCCAAGCAGTGGCAGAGATGGCCATCATTCTTAGTAACTCAATGGGAAGAAGGCACCCCTTCCCCCAAAGTGTTGGCAAAAGTCCCAAGCCTGACACTGATTGGCCAAAAGGTATATGTTTATCCCTGAATTAATCCCCGCAGGTCTAGAGATACTGGGTTCTGATTGGCCAGACCCAGGCCACACTCCCCCAGTTCTAGAATTGAGTGTAGATTTGCCATCACTGGAGGTACCCATGTAAGGAAGGAAGGGGGATTGATCCCCAAAGGTAAAATCAGGTGTTGTTGCTAACCAAGGTATTGGGCAGGAAAAACAAAACAAGTCCATCCCATCTCCCTCACTAGTACGCCAACTGCATATTGTATTGCCCCATGGGATCATTTGCTTTCTTTTCTTGCTTTATGTGGTGGATAAAAATCTAAGATGGCCACTAAGTGGCCTAAATAGTCCCGCCCACTGGTGTATGCATACTTGCTCCTAGCTGTTCAACCAAACTCTAACCTATGCTTCCATGAAAGAATGCTACGATGTAATTAAGGTCCCAAATCAGCTGACCTTGTAATAGGGAGATTATCCTTGGTGGGCCTTACCTAATCAGGTGAGCTCTTAAAAAGGATGGGGTTCTTCCTGGCAAAGGAGAGGAGTACTCAATGTGGGGGAGAATGGCCCTATTTGATATCCAACAAAGACAGGGACCTCAGTCCTACAAATGCCAAGAACTGAATTCTGCCAATGACTTGAACTTGTGAGTGGATTTTACCCACAGGGCCTCCAGAGAACTCAGCTTTGATCTCAGTTTTGTGATATCCTGAGCACAGAAAACCCAGTCACGCAGGACGACACTATCAACATACAGATTTATGAACTAATTACTGGGTATTGCTTTAAGCTGAAAATTTTGTAGTAATTTTTAGGCAGTAATAAAAAATGAGTACACTACCCCCAGGATTCTAAGATCCCAAAGTAGGGAGCTTCTCCAGGATCACTTACCCTCCTCATTCCCAAAGAACACTTAAGACAAGAGGGTTCCTCTTCCTGCTTCCAGTCCCTTTATCTGGGAATGAGATGGGGTGGGGAGACCCCTGCTCTTCATCATTCAACCCCTGCCTTCCAACTCCCAGCTCTCCTGCCCTAGAGGGCTTACCAAGGAAGCCACGCTGCTTGGCATTCTATAACTAGCTTGTGCCCCACCAGGCCCAGGCAGGCAGCCCGACCAATCTCCGCTCCCCAGGCCTCAGGGACCTTTGACCAACTCAATTGATCTGGACTCCTGAGCAGGCACTTGGACCATCGGACAGACGCCATGAGAGATCTGCTATTCCTGGGGTCCCTGCTGGTGAACCTGGATTCAGCGCTGCTGGTGAGGATGGTGGGAACCAGGAGGATTGTGCTGGATGGCCCTGGGGGGCCTTACCACAGCCTTGGCCTCTGGCCATGACCTGTGGGTCCAGGGAACTAGGTTTATTTGCAAAGGTGAGGCCAGCCCACAAGGCCCAGGCAGCAGGTTGAGATCGTGAGCACTGGTGGATATGAAGGCACAGCCTGCGATTGTGGGGAAGAGGGATCTTGGAGAGACAATGGGAGGAGGAAGATTGTGTTCTGATCTTATGAGGAAATTTCTGCACTTCTGGCCTGTGAGAAGAACTAGGAACAACCATGGGATCAGAGGCTGGTTATGACTTTCTGGACAAATTCCCTGTTCTCTCCCCTCCTCCCCCATGTAGACTCCACACTGGCGAGCCCACAAGGAGCATAAGCAGGTAGCGGGTGAGCCCACAGTGGGTAAGTAGCCTGATTCTGCCTCCTAAGATACCCTTGGCAATATGTCTGGCTGGGGTGCACAGATCGCTGATCTTGGACCCTTGGTGCGAGGGAAGGGACCCTGAAGCACTCTTTACTCTCATCCCCAGGCTTTTCTGGCTGGTGTAAAGATCTGAGTGCCCACTGTATACCAGATCTTTGAGCCTACGGGCTCAAAGGACCCAGTGCGATAGTGAGCTATGTGGTTCTTGAAGGCAGACCTTGGGCTGTGACTGTTCAGTTCAGCTCCTCCAGGCTTCCTGAGTTTCCCAGGCTCCCCCCTCCTTTTCATCTCACAGGCATCAGTCAGGCTGCACAGAAGCCAGGGCCCTCGATAGACAAGGAAGGACCAAGAGCCAGGATCTGGAATCTAGATGCCTCTAAATACTGGTTTTGTCACTTATGAGCTAGGTGACTCTGGGCAAGTGACTAGGCCTCCCCAAGCTTCAATCCCCCCATCCGGAAAATGGGGCTGCTAGTTATAAACCCTGTAGGGTGGTGGAAAAGGAGAAATGACTCTTTAATCCATGAGAGATATGTAGCCCCCCAGTCTAGTAAATGCATGGTAAATGCTTAACATATATTTGTGTCTCTTATCAAGTTCCCTTTAGATGAGGGATGCCTGCCGTCACCCTTCTCAAATCCTACCATAGCTCCCCATTGCCTTCATTCTTTCAGGCACTAAACATTGACCCAGAGTTGTGACCTAGATGGAGCCTGCCCCGGAGAGCTGGTCTGGTGGGTTTGGACCCAGCCTCTGAGGATGGTCTTGAGGTCCGGAGGCCCAGCATATCCAGTCCTGCTGGCCTCAGCCTCATCTCACCAGCCCACCTGCTCTCCTCCCTGTTGCCTGAACCAACATATGTGTCCCACTCTGGCCTAATCACCTATTTAGGGTCCCTCCTCCTCTCTGTCCATCTCAATCTCATGGCCCCCTCTCTTCCTTAATTGCTCTTCCCCTGGTTTGCCCTGCACCAGGTGCCAGCACGCCTTTAACAACAAAATAATAGCTAATGCTCATTGATAAGTACAGTGCGCAAGATTCTGGGCTGTGTTTGTAGGCATTATCTCATTTAAGCTTCACAACATCCTTCCAAAGTAGATAAAGCCAGTTCCCATGATTCATGGTAGTCCTGTTCTATAGTCAGCTTGAAGACTGAAGTAGCAAATACTGACCCATGCTCCTAGAGGAAATATAGGGGGAGGTTCCTATGAGCTCATTTTCATGAACTGTCAATAGATAACCTTGCTTTATGTGTGATTCTGTTCAAAGGCACCTTACATAATATATCTTGTTCATTCATTAACGTTGAACTCATGGTCCATGGCTCTAGAACTCATCTAACAAAACTACATTCCCCATAAGGCATGTCACAGCCCTCCCCATGTTGGGGGTCACATATGACAGCGAAAACATCTACCGAAAGCACAACACCTGAAAAAGGCAACACTAAACAGACAGTGAAAAGGGCGCTTGCTCACAGGGAGAGAGCTGAAGCTAGAAGCAGCACATCCCTCCTCCCATTCCCTTCCCCTCAGCAGGGGACATATGCTAAGGACAACTTGAATTTTTCACTGCTCTGCGAATGTGTGTGAATGACCATGACAGCACCTTGAGTATTGGTTTGGGGGTTACAAATAAATGTTAGCAAGAAGGCACATTTGCAAATACAGAATCTGTGAGTGATGGTCAATTGTCTTATTTTAAAAAATAGTGAGAGCAACACATTTTTATGGTAAGAACTTTAGAAATTACAGAAATGCAAATGAAGAAAGAAGTCCTACAGTCCACTATCTTCCAAAAACCACTTACAAATTTTGAACACTGCCCCTTCTAGACCATTTTTGTTGATGTGATAGGACCAGACTGACATGCTATTTTTAACTTGCTTTTCTTCACTTAAAATCAACAACTTTCTCTGCTAATATGTTTATAACCTTATTTAATATATATTTATATCATTATTAAAACAAATTTTTTTGCGAACTACACATAATGTAAAGTTTACTATGTTAACCATTCTTAAGTGTACAACTCAGTGATATTAAGTATATTTTATTGCTGTGCAACCATCACCATTGCCCATCTCTAGAACTCTTTGCATTCTGCAAAACTGAAACTCTTTTACTATAATATTATTTTTAAAAAAGATCTATTTATTTATGCATACAAGACCGGGGGCACAGGCCAGAGTTGCTGGGAGTGAGAGGATTCACCAGAGAGAGTAGGGAGCAGAACGGGCAGATCTACTGAAATACACTGCTGAGGGGAGCAGTGGGTGAGACAGGAGAGGTCTGCTGGGCCATGTGGATTGCTCCCTGGCCAGCCGGGAATCGAACTCATGCTGCAGTGGCTGGCGATAGCTTGACAGCACTCTCTTTAACCCTTGCGCCACCAAGAAAGCCCTACTATACTATTACTATTGCCATGTCACAGATGAGGAAACTAAGGCTCAGAGCGGCCAAGTGACTTCAACAATCAATAAGTATAAGGTGCTCTAGTCAGTCCTCTAGAGCTACAGACTTGCCCATGCTCGCACAGCTGGTGGGTGGTGGAGTAAGGAATCCACTCCTGCTGTCCCACCCCAGAACCCAAGTTCTTAAACAAACACTGATTTGAAAGCATAATGATCTTTTTGAGGGTTCATCCTCCTCCCACCCAGATCGTGAGGGGTGGTGTCTGGGCAGTGGGTACAGGGAAAGTCATCAGAGAGTGTATTATCCCTGCAGTTCTCACTGTCACTGGGGAACCCTGCCACTTCCCCTTCCAGTATCACCGGCAGCTGTACCACAAATGCATCCACAGGGGCCGGCGTGGCCCCCGGCCCTGGTAAGACTACCCAGAAGGGTTGGAGGAGGAACCCTTTGGACATGGCCTCTCTCCATCCTTCTGCCCAAGGAACCCTGCTTGGAGGGGGTGGGGGAGATAAGGGAGGGTGGCTAATCCCCTGAGCAGAAAAGGGAAGCCTTATCTTTCTACAGGTGTGCGATCACCCCCAACTTTGAGCAGGATCAGCGATGGGCATACTGCCTGGAGCCCAAGCAAGTGAAAGGTGCCACACACTGCCCTCTGGGGTGACCCAGGGCTCTCCGCCCAAGCCCTCCCATGCCCCATTAATCTATGAGTATTATGAGACTACATACCCAGGATTCTGGACCCATCTGACCCCTTCCCTGCAGGGGGAGGAGTTTTGGGAGGGTTAGCTCCATTTTGTAGGTGGGTAAACTAGGAAACTTGGGTACCAAGGTTCAAGTAGGGGCCTGGTGCCATCTGTCTGATTCAGGTCCCCCAATCTTCTTCCCTCTGTGTTCATCTCTCAGACCATTGCAGCAAACACAGCCCCTGCCAAAACGAAGGGACCTGTGTGAACATGCCAGGCGGCCCACACTGCATCTGTCCTGAGCACTTCACCGGCAGGCACTGCCAGAGAGGTGAGGGCCCGGGGAGGGGCTCTAGGGAACAGAGGCAGCCCTGGGCCTACAGAAGAGGTCCCTTGGCACAGTCCCAGTCTCTCCTGATACCCCAGCTTCCCTTGACTAGTCCCCAACCTTGTCCCCAGAGAAATGTTTTGAGCCTCAGCTTCTCCAGTTCTTCCACGAGAATGAAGTATGGCACAGAGCGGCGGCAGCAGGTGTGGTCAAATGTCAGTGCAAGGGCCGGGGTGCCCAGTGCAAGCCACTGCTCAGCCAGGGTGAGTGAATGGGGTGGTGCTGACCCAGGAGGAGAGCCTAAGGTGGGGGAAAGGAGGGAACGGGAGGGGAGGGGAGGGGGAGGGGAGGGGAAGGGGAGGGGATGGAGAGGGGGGGGGAGGAGGAGGAGGAGGAGCAGGCCTAGAGGCCTGGTAGGAGCAGCCCTCTTCAGAGGGGTGGGGGAGGCTCAAAGTGCTCCTTCTCCCAGTCTGCCAGACCAACCCGTGCCTCAACGGGGCGCGCTGCCTAGAGGCAGAGGGGCACCGCCTGTGTCACTGCCCTTCAGGCTATGCCGGACCCTTCTGCGAAGTGGGTGAGTGGTGGTCCTGGGGGAAGCAGGTGCCCAGACCCCACGTGGGCAAGGCTCGTGGAGAGGAACGAGGGAGAATGGGGGAAGTGGCTGAGAGGCTGGCGGGAGACCTCCTCACCCCCTGGCTGCATGGCGCCTCGTCTCTCCCTAGACCTTGAGGCGAAATGCTACGACGGCCGAGGGCTCAGCTACCGCGGCACGGCCGGAACTACGCTCTCGGGCGCGCAGTGCCAGCCGTGGGCCTCGGAGGCCACCTACTGGAACGTGACTGCAGAGCAAGCGCTGGACTGGGGCCTGGGCGACCACGCCTTTTGCCGGTGCACGGGGTGGGGCCGGGCGACCCCTCCGGCACTGGGTGCTCCGGGGGTCCCGCGCTCTAACGGCGCCCCTGCCGGTGCGTGCAGGAACCCAGGAAATGACACCCGCCCTTGGTGCTTCGTGTTCAGCGGCGACCGGTTAAGTTGGGAATACTGCCGTTTGGCACCGTGCCAGGCCCCAGCCCAGAGGACGCCTCAGGTTTGGATTCAGGCGCAGGACTCGGGACCTCAGGACTTCCCCTTGCCTCCGCCTTTGGTCCTGCAGGAGCCTCAGCCCACGAGCCAGAGCCCGCCGCGGTCCCCGACCCCAGGTAGCTGGGAGGCGGTGGGAATCCGAAAGGAGAGAGCACGCCGAGGCGAGCTAAATTTTGGCCGATCGTGGGTCTCCCTGTGCTCAGCCTGGGATCCTCTCACATCCTTTCAAGTGACACACAAGCAGCCGATTAGCCTGACCAAGACCGGCAAGGAGGACCAGGTCGGCTGCGGACAGCGGCTCCGGAAACGGCTGTCCTCGCGGAGCCGCATCGTCGGGGGCCTGGTGGCGCTCCCCGGGGCGCACCCCTACATCGCGGCGCTGTACTGGGGAGAAAATTTCTGCGCGGGCAGCCTCATCGCCCCCTGCTGGGTGCTGACCGCGGCTCATTGCTTGCAGAATCGGCGAGTATCTGCCCGCCCAGCGCCTGCCTGGGACCCTAGATGCTCTCTCTTTGGTGCCCAGCTTTCGCTCTATAGCCGAACCCCGTGCCCGACCCCCGACTCTCCCTCCCTTCCCCCTTCTCTCCAGCGCTCCTCAGCAGGAAGCTGATACCCGGGAAGGAGCTCGGGAACGGAGAGCTCCTTCCATCGGAACGGCTTCCTCTTCGACCCCCGCAGGCCAGAGCCCGAGGAGCTGACAGTAGTGCTGGGCCAGGACCGCCATAACCAGAGCTGTGAGCAGTGCCAGACACTGGCCGTGCGCACCTACTACCTGCACGAGGGTTTCTTGGCCACTACCTACCAGCATGACCTGGGTGCGTGAGGCGCCCCCGCGAGGATCAGGGGAAAGGGTGGGGAGAGCGCTCGAATCCCAGAGCCCGGGTCTCACTACTCCTCACCTGGGTTAGCACTGCTGCGCCTGCAGGAGAGAGCTGACGGCAGCTGCGCGCTCCTGTCGCCCTACGTTCAACCCGTGTGCCTGCCAAGTGGTGCCACCCGCCCCACTGAAGCCCGGGATACGCTCTGCGAGGTCGCCGGCTGGGGTCACCAGTTTGAGGGTAGGCAGAACAACCAGAGGTGGGTTGGGAACCTCTGGTTACCAAGGTATTCATTCAAGAAGCCCACAGCTTTGATGTCACCATAGACAGGTGGTGTGGATTTTGGTAGGTTGTGAAAACGCACAGGGTCCTTGTCTCTGCAGTCTGCTTTTCCCAGGAGCTGGAGGGTCCTGAAATTTCCTGAAGGGTACAGGGAGAATCACACTTTCTCTTGGTTCTCTTGGGAGGCTAGGTTGCAAGGGCTACCTAAGACACTGGCCCCAGGGTGAGAAGCTGGTGAGTTAGTTGGGGAGTAAGGTTGTGAGACACTGGATGCTAAGTGAGCATGGGATCCCAAAGCAGTCCTGCTTCCACCAGGTGCACTCAAATTCTGGCTCCTCTCTGGCTTCAGTTTCCTTATCCATGAAATGGTGCTAACCACAAATCCCTCCCTCTCCAGCTTGCGACAAGGGAGGCAGGAGCTTAGGTGGTTTTGGAAGAACCTGGTGCAACCAGGTACATCACCTGGGTGGCAAGCCAGGTCTGCAGGGGTGCCAAGAAACCACTTTCCATTCACAGGGGCAAAGGAATATTCCACCTTCCTGCAGGAGGCGCAGGTGCCTATCCTCTCTCAGGAGATCTGCTCTGCCCCCTACGTGCATGGCTCTGCCTTTATCCCTGGCATGCTCTGCGCTGGCTTCCTGGAGGGCGGCACTGATGCATGCCAGGTGAGCCCATGGGCCTGCTTGTTGTACTCCCTGTATCAAGTGCAGATCCCAGGCCAAGGGCACTGAGCCACATGTTTCCAACCCAGGGTGATTCCGGGGGTCCGCTGGTGTGTGAAGAGGAGGCCACAGGGCACCAGCTTATCCTGCGAGGCGTTGTCAGCTGGGGTTCGGGGTGTGGTGATCACCATAAACCAGGTGTCTACACTGATGTGTCCAACTACCTGGACTGGATCCAGCAGCATACCACCTCCTGACTGCCCAGGGACTTCTCTTTTCCTCCTGTGCAACTCTGGAATGGGAGGGTGACTGGGGCATGATCGCAGAAGGCAAGGATGGTGTTCCCTCTTCCTCCACTCTCCAGTACTGCCAGCCCAGTGCCAGGCACCATGTATGTACTCAATAAAGTGCTTTGAAAATGCTTGGGAAGCACAGCTCTTCTGGGGTGCCCTCTGCTCACCAATGTGAAGATAGTAAGCTGAACAGCTCCACACCTCTCAGAGAACAGACTCTATTAAGATCTTTTGCAAGACTCAGATTCATGCCCAGCTGACATTTACTGAACCCTACTGTGTACAAGGTGAGTTTATGTGTTATGCCTAAGAAATATACTAACATTTAAAGTTTCTAGAGCAACAGTTCTCAATTTTGACTGTACAATGGAATCACCAAGAGCGCCTTTTGAGACTATGCCCAAGATCCAACCTCAGACCAATTAAATCAATATCTCTATGGATGAGGTGTAGGTAGAGGTATGTTTTTAAAACTCCCCAGGTGATCCCATGTGCAGCTGAAGTTGAGAACCACAATTAGAAATGCTTAACTTAACCTTCCCCCCCAACTCCATTGCATCTCAAAGTGTGGTCAGAAGCAGCCTTTCCAGGGAGTATGTCAGAAATGCAGGTTCTCGGGTTACATCCTATAGTACCTAATCATAAACTGAATTGGGGGCCAGAAGTGTAAAAGCGTGCCTGAGAGTCTCATGCTCCTAACATTTGAGAACCGTGGTCTGGGGGTGGAATGGTTACCAAGTCGAGAGGTCCTGTTGGCCACCTTTGGCATCTTTCTTTTCATTTTTAAGCCCATGTGTACTGCGCTTGCTGGGCCATTTAAGTTGGTTTTTCAAGGTTTATTCTGACCTATGCGATCCCCTCGCTCCTACTAACTAGAATATCACCAGGCTTAAGATGAGAACCAATTCCCGACACCACGCCCCACACATACACTGTTCAGCGCAGGTAGCAGCTCTGTGACGTCACCATACCTCAACGTCACAACCCCACCCGCTTGAGGCTTTGTGCTCTAAGCGCGCAAGCTCTGTGGGACATCCCTCTTAAGTGCAAAGTGAGGGGCGCACTCGGAGCCAGAATGGGCGACTGGAAAGGTTACATCAGTGCAGTGCTGCGGGACCAGCGCATCGACGACGTGGCCATCGTGGGCCACTCAGACAATCGCTGCGTGTGGGCTTCGCGGCCCGGGGGCCTGCTAGCGGCCATATCCCCGCAGGAGGTGGGTGTCCTCACAGGGCCAGACCGCCGCACCTTCCTGCAGGCGGGTCTAAGCGTGTCCGGCCGCCGCTGCTGCGTCATCCGCGACCATCTGCTGGCGGAGGGGGACAGAGTGCTGGATGCGCGCACCAAAGGGCTGGATGGGCGCGCCCTCTGCGTGGGCCACACGCCGCGCATGCTCCTTGTGCTCCTGGGCCGACGCGGCGTGCACGGGGGCATCCTCAACAAAACAGTGCATGAGCTAATCAACGCGCTCCGCGCTCAGGGTAGCTAGTGGGACCCCCAAATCGCCCACAGGGCAGTGGTGCTGGAATAAACTCTGACGTGGGCTTGGCCAATTCGTCCTCCGTTTGCACAGTGGGAGTTGCAGATGAGGAAACCAGTTTCCCTTGAAGATTCCTGTGGAAGGGGTAACTAGTGAATCTGATATTTTGAGTAGAGATTTCCACACTCCTGTGCCCTAGACCTGGCCTCCTGTCTATGGGTTCCCTGTAGAAGCCTCTGGTCTGATTCTCCAAGCCAGAGTCAGGGTGCCGTGGCCCATTCCCCACATCTTACGGCTGAGGAAGAGGCCCAGAGAGTAACCTTAAACCCTCTAGCTCAGGCCTTAGCATCCTTTCTCTACCTCTGTACAGAACAAACTGCTTCCCTCCCACAATCCTCCCACACCCCCTCCTGGCTGGAAGTCAGTGTACTTTTCTCCTCCTCCCCTTGGCACCAGTCAGCATTAACAAGGGTGGCAAGTGGGTGACAGGGTGAGGTTGGTACTTGGAGAGCAACTCCTGGACTCTTAGGCCCTTGCACCTCCTCCTCATATACCTCAAAATGGGGGTCATGTCCAGGAGCACCACAGTGGTCTGAGGCCCTATAGCCTTCCTGTGCCCAAAGGGTCCAAAGGCAACAGTGTACCTGGACTAGAAGGAGGAACTTTGTCATCTTCTATCCCTTGACCTTGCTCAGCTCCAGAAGCCCTATGCAAAAGAGCAGTTGAATTCTGGGATTGGGGCAGGGTGTGTATGTGTGTGTGTATTAAATGATGTTTGATTTATTGCCCAAAGGTAGAAAACAAAGACAGGAAGAAGGGTGACTGGGCTCCCGTTCCCAAGCAGTGGGGCCCAGGGCATGGCCTGTTTGCCCGTCTCCACCCTCTTGGCTCCCTCCCCCATGGCCTGGAACTGATCTTGTTCCAGAAATCATGAGTGAAGGTGGGAGTCTGGTGGGTGAGTCCAAAGGCAGATAGAGACCAGAGGTCAGCCGGGTGGGACTGGGAGTGAAACTGCAGCAAGCCCGTCTTCTACTTGCCTTAGGGGTGACTGTAGCCCAGGGCCGGGCTGGGGTTTGTCTTCCAGGGAGTTTGAATCTTGGGTTGGACTCATTAAGGCCATGGAGATTGTGGGGGTGAGCGTGCAGGCTAACTCCTTCAGGGCAGATCATGCTGTGCTGTTGCTGTGAATTTGGCGGGGTAGTGATGTTGAACTCCAAGACTTGGTCTCTCCTTCCCCCAGGTAGAGAGCAAACAGACAAGCAAATGCATAATGACATTTTAATTTTCTTCCATAAGGCAGTGTTGGGGGGGCGTTGTGGTGGTACAGAAAACCTGAGTGAGGGGACGGAGAATGGTGGAAGGTAGAGGGGAGGGATGAGAATTCAGCTAGTGACTCAAGTACCCACATCTATGCACCAGCAAACAATTGTAAGTCACGTGCTCAGACCTACCCTTACTCCTGCTCAGCCCAGTTGGAGGTGTATGTACACAAGGGCACAGCCCAGTTCTTCAAACACACATGCAGAGGACTAGAGATCATACCCAGGTACCCTAAGTCCTGTACTTGGCCCCCACAGGTGCATCAACCCACCCGTGCAGTCTGACACAGACTCACCCAAACATGCCACACATGTGCACATGTGGACCCTCAGTCACAGGAGACCTCTGAGGACCTGTACAAGGGCAGAGTGCACAACACATCTCTGCCTTTCCACCCTGGGCACTGGGACCCAGGTGGCAGTCTGGGCTGCAACCTAAAGGCGGGTAGCATTGTGGCGAGCAGGCAGTGCCAGGCGGGGGGAGGGTGTGGCAGGGGGCAGCTCCTCCAGGAAGACCCTGGCAGGCAGTGAGGGTGAGCGGGGCTCAGGCCGGGCACAGCACAGGGTGGCCCGGGTGATGAGATCATCCAGGGGTTTCAGAGAATGCATCCAGTGGGGAAGGAAGTCCCATGTCTGCAGCCACTTGGGCAGGTGCCTGGGGCTGCGACTCTGCAGGATGCTTACAAGAGCCACAAAGGCCAACAGGGCTCCGAAGGGTGTGCCCACACCTACCATGGCCTGCCAGCCTGCCATGGAGATGCCAAACACCAGTGATGGCAGCAGCAGGAAGCATAGGAGGAGATAGAGGACGGCGAACCAGCGGTACTTAGCCGTGCATTTACCCAGCGCCTTGGCCATGCGGATGGGCAGGCGCATGCAGGGCACTGGGTACCACAGCAGAATGCCTGAGATGTTGAAGAAGAAGTGGCAAAGGGCAATCTGCAGGGGAGAGGGTGGAGGATTGGGGTGGGCATGTGCCCCAGAACTTTTGTCAGGCCAGTGGGGGTAGATACTAGGGGCCTGGCCTGACCCGGGTACCAGGAAAGTCGCCTCCTGGGGCTGACATACCTCCAGAAAGATATTGTAACATTTCTCTGGACCAGTTGGGAAATAACTGAACTCTCCAGGTTTCCCCCACCCACTCCTCTCTCAGAAATTCCCCAACAGATCCACCCCAAATCTAAGAGCTAAACGTTTCCTCTTAGCGCCTGGCTTGGCAACCCTGGCCTCTTGATCAGTCAGTGCCTTGGTCCTGCTCCTGGATTGCCAGTTACTCTCTTGCTTCTCCAACAGCCATCTGTGCCCTCATGGTCCCCAGACTGGGCCAGATCCCCTCTTACAGCACACCTTCCTCAGAATGCAAACCCACTTGCTGTTTATTGGTGTGACTACTGAGTCACTTCTGTTAGATGCTAAGGTCTTGAGGGTGGTGAATGGGTGGCCCCTGGTGGGCAGTGACAACTGACCCTTGGACAACACAGGTTTGAACGCACAGGTGCAGTTAACACTTGGATATTTTTTCTCTGTGGGGTCTGCATTTGAAGAGTCAGCCAACCCCTGATGTTGGCTGGTTGAATCCACAGACACAGAATTTGCAGACACAGAGGCTGCCATATCCACGGATTTTGGTAGCGGAGGCTCCTGATAGTAACCCCACCGATACCAACAGAGCACTGTACTCAAATTTGGTGGAGTCCAAAGTTATGTGGATTTTCACTGTGCAGAGGTCCGGTGCCCCTAAACCTTGCATTGTTTGGGGATCAACTGTTTTTATTATACATTATCTCCCCTGATCTGGTCCCATGTCCCAGCCCCAGCCCTGTCCTCCCCCTGTCAGGGCTGCTGCTAGGCTCACCTGGAAGGCGCTGGACAGCTTCTCTCGGGGGCTGGCCAGTGCTGCCAGGATGGCCGTGGTGGTCGTGCCGATGTTGGAGCCCAGTGTGAGGGGGTAAGCTCGCTCGATGCTGATCACACCCAGGCCTGGGGGGCAGAATGGGTGGATATGGTCTCCCCCCTGACTGTTTCAGTCTTTTCCCTGCCAGCCTGACCCCACCCACCCAGCCTCTGCCGGGGCTCTCACCAATGAGTGGGGTGATGGCTGAGGTGAACACAGAACTGCTCTGGACGACAAAGGTCATGCCGGCGCCCACCACCATGGCAAAATAGCCTGTGGCCCAGGTGAAGGGAGCAGGGAAGTCTGTAAGAAAAGCCCAACCAGGCTGGGTCAGTGCAGGGAGAGGAGCAGGGCCTTCCTCGGGAGGAGAGATGGGGTGCCAGCTTCTGCTGCCTCACCTTTAGGCCCTTCTTAGCCTGGCTCCATCACACTTTCTGTTTTCTCTGCCAGGAAGATCCTTCTTTCTCCCAAATGTTCCCCCTCAGCATCAGAGCACACATCACTGTTGCCTGAAAACCCACCCACGCTCTGGCCTCAGGCATACTGCTTCTCAGGCACATTGCTGCTCCCTCTTGCAGTTCTAGTAGATGCGTGAATGCCCCTTATCCTAGCATCTGTCGTAGGGCTGGTGCAAGGTAGTGCCCCAAAGCACAAAATGAAGCTTAAACTGAAAATCAGAGTGTGTCATTCCACTGCCCCAACCCTCCAAATGTCCCATTACCCACACTGCCTCTGGGGCCCCAGGATCTGCCTCCATCCCTGTGGGCTGACCTCTCCCTGTCCCCCCACCCACCTCACCCATTGAATTCCCACACACTGCTGCCACCTCCTGTGCCACAAACCTGCCTAGCAGGTTCCTGCCTCTGAGCCTTTGCTTTTGCTGTTCCCTCTTGGAATACTCTCAGCCACATCTTGATAACTCCTCATTTAGGCCTCAGCTTGAATATCCCAGAAGCCTCTGCCCATCCATCACAGGCAGCTGCTTCCTAACTACGGCATTGCCAGTTTTGCTTTCTCCTCGGGAGCTGCCTCTCTGAATTTATCCCCAGCCTGTTTATTGGGCAATGCCTGTCCCACCCCCCAACCTACCCCCAGGCTGTGAGCCCCCCGAGGGCAGGATGCATCTCTCAGCAGCCAACCTGTCTCCCTGGCACTACATGGAACCTGGCACACAGTAGGGGCTTAAGGTCTAGATGCTGATTGAATCAAGTGTGGCTTCTGAGAATTTCTTCAGCCACCTGCTAGAATGGAGCTACGGCCAGAGGCAGCCACAGCTGTCCAGCATGGGGGACACTGAGACTCAAAGCTGTCTGGGCTTTACCCAGATCACATAGCAAGACAAGACTGCGGAATTGGAGGGAGCCCCACTCTGCTCTAAGCTCACCTGTGTTGATAACCTTCTGGATGACCTTGGCCACCTGGCCCTTGAGCAGAGAGTTGAGCATCTTGACCAGGAGGATGAGACAGGTGCATAACAGCACCAGAGAGCCCGCCAGTAGGATAAGCCCCACAGCCAGGTCAGGCAGCCCTGTGTCCACGAAGATGTGGTTGCCTGTGGAAGGAAAATGGGGGGTTGAACTCCTAGCCCCTGACTTGGACACCTCCTTGGGCTCAGAACCTCAAGCTTCACCTCAAACTCCTTCATCCTCCACAGTAGGCCTCACCCAGGCCCAGGGGCTGGGCTAGTTGGCTGCTACCCCTCCTGGGGTTAGAAGCAGCCATGGCCTGGGTGGGGGTGAGGAGTTAAGGGCATAGGCCTGCCCTTGCCAGGCTCTGCCCCTGCCATGCTAGACAACACCCATGCTGCAGGCACTCACATTTTTCCATGGTGGCATTTCTGAGGATCTGGCTGGTATTGACCTCCGCCCTGGGCATGGGGGTGGGAGCCTAGATGAAGAGGAGGTAACTTAGAGAATTTAGGAAATTCAGCCTGGAATTGGGGCTAGTTGGGGTGAGAGTGAGATGGGAGTGGGGGAGAGGAAGCTGTGCCTCCTGACTTTATGCCCTTGGATGCCCTTTAAAGCCTATCTCCTCAACTAAAGACACAGGGGTAAAATACCCGTCACTCAGAACCTGATAGTCTGCTCATGGCTCCCTTGCCCTGGCTGTTCCTGAAGCAAAAGTGGCTTCTTGTCCTGACTTTCTTCAACCCCATCAGCCTGGATGCCATTGATCATGACCTCTTTATCTGAGCACTCTCCCTCCACCATGGCCAATCCTACTCTGGTGGCCCCTACTTCCCTGGCATCCTTGCTCCATCCTCTTCCCTGAGGAGGGGGAGCACCAGTGGGGCAGGGGATCCAAGCCCCACATATCCTCAGTGGAAGAGGTCAGTGAAGTGAGGGGGGCTCCTTGGGGAAACCCCCCCCAATACAGAGGCCCAGTGGCCAGGCCAGTAACCTAAATGAAAGGCTTGGAGTGAGTGGGGTGTGTGCTGGGTCTACAGGGTAACAGCTATTCCACTCCTGGCCACCATCACCACCCAGGGACATGACCCAGTATGGCCAAATAGCCCAATTCTACAAGAGAAGCCACAGCTCTGGAGTTCCAAGCTGTAAAGGTCAGCCACCCCTTAAAACCACACTCTGCAATTCCCTGCAGGCCAGTGGGCCATGGCACTGCTCACATGGGGCCTCTTTAGGTTCAGTTTTCTTTTGCAATGCTATGTGGGGTGACTTATCTTTCCCTTAGGACCCCAGAAGCCACCCGGCAGGGAAAGGAGAAGGGGGTTAGGCTTCACGGGGAGGAAGGCACCTCACAGAGGAGGAATGGAGCCCTAGCCAGGGGCAGCTCCTGCGAGGGAACAGGCTTTCTGCTTCTTCTGAGAACTGATTTGGACCCTGGTCCCATTCCCTGGGGCACTCCGCACCCCACATCCTCTGACTTCCAGAGTACTGGCCTTCGATATCACAACTCTTGCAGTTTTATTCTAAACTACGTGTCATGAAAAACATGTATGCTAGAGATCGGGCCTCCCAGCGGCAACTGGCTTTCAGTTGAAGTTTGTCTGGTGGTAGATGCTCCCTTGATTGGGGCAAGATCTGTGTTACCAACTGGACATACCAGGGCTTTAGGGGCACCCTCAAACCCCAGCCAGAATCACAGGTTGAGGAACCAGGAGAAAATAGTCCCTGGTGGGCTAGCCTGGGGCAGTAGATCGGTAACCGTGGCGCAGGGGAGGGGGAAAGCCAGCTCTTTGCAGCTGGCAATCTGAGTTCAAATCCTGCTGCTAATACCCACTACCTTGAGCACCCCACAACAAGATACTGTCCCCTGAGACTGTCTTCCCTAAGGCCGGACAGTCAATGACCTGTTAGGAAAGGTCACAGGAGAAAATGGGTGTAAAGTGTTCCCAGCAAGATTTAGCTCATGACAAGCCTTCAGTAAACTGAGACTTCGAAGGCATAAGGTTTAGACTCCCCCCTCACACAAGTCCATCCAGAATGCAGGGGCATATGTGTATGTGTATAATTGACTTTCTGGTTTCAGGATCAAAAATGCCTACAGACATGCCTGAGGATCCTGGCCCAGTTGGAAAGGAACTTGGTGACTCTTCTTAGGGTTTCCCAGCTTGGAGCCCTGGGAGGCAGATGACCCCTCTGAGATGAGTGGGCGCCTTACTAGTGAGTGTGTCAACGACGTACCCTGAGCTGGACCTGTGGCCTCTGAGCCCCTGGAGAGGTTGGAGGAGGATAGGGACTTTCTTAAGGCCCCGCTCAGTGATGGCAGTTTAGGGGCAGGGAGAGGCTGAGGGCTGAGACCTCTTGGGTTTCTAAACCTTCCTGCCTGAAGTTGTGTGGTCCTGATTGAACTCACAAAGGGAATTCAGAGACCTCAAAGTGCAAGAGAGGAGTGTAAAGGCAGGGGCAGAGAGGGTAGACCTCAGAGCCAGACTCAGAGTGTGTGTGTGTGTGTGTGTGTGTGTGTGTGTGTGTGTGTGTGTGTGTGTGTGTCAGGGGGATGACAGAGAAAAAGGAGCACGCCCGGGGGTTTTCTTGCTGAGTAGAAGAAGGTTGAAGCTCCAACCTAGATAAAAAGCTGGTTTGGAACTCCCCGGTGGCGCAGGGGTTAAAGTCTCAGCACTATGAAGTTATCACCAGCCACTGAGGCTTGAGTTCCATCCCCAGACTGGGAGCTGACCCACAGGGCACAGCAGACCTCTCCTATCTCACCCGCTTCTCCCCCAACAGTGTATTTCAGTATATCTGCCTATTCTGCTCCCCACTCTGTCTCTGGTGAATCCTTTCACCCCCTGCACCTCTGGCCTACACTCTGGTTCTTGTATGCATAAATAAATAAAAATAAATCTTAAATAAAAAAGAGATGGGAGGCTCAGGGTCTGGAACATACCCCCAAAATGTGCCCATCTTTTCTGGGCCTTGGGGTTTTGTGGGGTGTTGAGCTCTGTAGCAAGAACAGAACAGAAAGCGCTGGGCTCAAACCCGAGCTGAACCACTCCCAGCAGTGTGACACTGGACTAAACCGTAACCTTTCTGGGCCTCAACTTTCTCCTCTGCAGCTCTGAGATCTGTAATGCTGTCCACCTCTCCCCATGGGCGAGTTGTGAGGAATCTTGGAAGAGAGTTGGGATTTAAGTGCTTGCAGAGACATTCCAAATTGAGGAGGCACCTCTAGAAGCTGAAGATAATCAAGCTCACAGAGGAATGTCTGGCTTCAGGAATGCTTCCCCTGGGGAGAAAAGCTCAGGAAATGGGCCTAAGTTGTAGTTTTTCCCTCCAAAGGAAGGGAAGGGCTAGGATACTCATTTTTCTGGAGCAAGGGGCGATCACTGGGCCAGCGGCGCCATCTGGTGGTGAAGAGAACTCCTTTTTAGCGCTGCATCTAGCACTCCTGGAGGGGTCTTCTGGCTGGGGTCACCTGGTGGCATTCAGGCCTGATGGATGGAGTGGGAAATGGTGGAATGCCAGAGTATGGAAGAGGCTGCAAGATGGGGAGTCGAGAATGTGGACACTGGATTCCATGGGATTTTCAACCTGCTTCAATCACATGGACTTGGGCAAGCCTGTCTGAGTTTTATCTGTGAGATGGAGATGGTTCCCTTATCTGTGAAGTGGAGATGTGATAATTCCTGCTTCCCACATTGAAAGTCCTCAAAAGGTGTTTGTTTAAACCATGCAGGTAAGGTTGGCAGTCCAGGTAGGTGTAGCTGACAATCCGCCTAAGAAGGTATTTCCCCAGCAGTGTCAGGACCTGGGGTGTTGAAAAGTGTTGGAAACTGTAACTGTCTCTGGTTTTTATTTCACCATCTGGAAAATCTCAGACTCTCAGTGCTCTTCTTGGTGATGTAGGTTCCCTGGAGACTGGTTTAGACAATTCAGATCCAACTTGGTAGAAACTGGAACAACAGGAACATGCTGGGAGGGAACACAAAGTGGCCAAAGGAAAACTCATCTTCAATACAGGAAAAACTGCTGGCCCACATGGAAGAGAGAGCACACAGCTGGGTGAGCCGAGGTCCTGAGGGGCAAGCCCCCAGCTACTCTCCAAGCCCCAAGGAAATCTGACATTCACATTGCTTTTAAAGAAAGGGCTTCAATCGCTTCTCGGCCTTTTGGCTAAGATCAAGTGAAGAAAATCTAGTGGTCCCGCAAAAGGCAGCCAGAGCAGGGAACTTGGGTGGGTTCCTCTTGCAGGAAATTGGTTGCTCATGTCCACCATTGTGTGCACATTCCACCCGATGAGGGGGAGGACCCTGCCCAAGGCAGCTGCAGTGGGGAGCAGGGATTTCAAAGGAACACCAAGGCCAAGCTCACTTCTTCCATGGTTTGTTTTTCGGAAAAAGCCAAGTGCGTAATTTCTCTCTCTCAGGTTTTGCTATGAAGTAAAGTGGACGGGTAATTTGGAGAGCTCACGAGAAAGTGGGGCTGTGTCGGAGAGCCAGCATAGAGCCTGTCTGCATGGGCTTTTTGATGTCAAGTTGCTTTGAATGCTCAGAAAGGCTGCACTGGAGCTGCGTGACTCAGACACAGAGGCCCTCTCTGGGCTGGTGGAAAGGACGTTCTCTGTTCGTGCCAGGATAGAGGTCCAATTGCATGCAGTAGCAAGTGCAGAGCGTGAGAGGGATAAACCGTGCTGTGCAGGTTTCCTTGTATCATGTTCTAAATGGAGCGACTTCTTGTGTGTAATAATTAAGAGGAAGCAAATACCGCAGGTTATGGTTTTGACGCAACGCTTTCCTTTTCATGACTGAGAGAGCATGCTAATTGTTTCCTTGTTCTCTGGATGTAATGGCTTGTCTAACAGACCCAGTTGGTCTAAACAGCTTCATTCCCAGCAGCAGAAGCCAGAAAGATACAGAAACATGCAGGAGGATGAGGGGACACGCGTGTGGCAGTCTGTAGGGGACAGAGCCCCATGTCAGCAAGTGGTTGTTGTGACTCTGAGGTCTCCACGGGGCCTTCTTGTCCTGCTTCTGGGCCAGTTTCCTGTTTGTCCTACTTTCCTGGGCACCCTAATAACTTTCCCCCCATTCCCTCCCCACATTGCCTGAGTCTTCAAACATGGCAGAGCAGAGTCACTAATCCCCCTGACACTCCAGTGGGAGAGGAGAGTTCTAGACAATGAGACTTGTGCTTGGGGACCCTGAAATGGAAGAACAAGCTCCCAGCAAGTTTCTCAGCTTCTTGGAGCCTATTTCTCTACCTGCAAAACCAAGAGGGTTCAAACCCAGAAGGCTTATTAAAGGCTGCTGTGTGCCACCCCAAGATTTTCTTTTCTGATTTAGGAGGTCTAGGAAAGGCACAGTATTTGGCATCTCTACAAGGTTCCCAGGTATTTTGGGTGCTGCTTGAGAACTGCTGGGCTAGATGGATTACATGCTAACTCTGATTGATAATGGTTGCTTAAAGCCAGAGTGAGTCTGGGAGGGATTAGTAATGTCTGCCATAGACACGGTATCATAGTAACGGGGCCACATATTTGCCCTCCCCAGGCTAAATGATATGCAAGGTCTCTCTGGAGTATTTAAAACAGATGATGGCACTAACAGTCAGATATCTGAAGAGGGAGTCCTCATTTCTAGGGCCAAACCTGGAACCTACCTCCATGGTGTCTGGGTGGCACCAGATCCGGATGAGACTGTGGTTCCTCAGGGACTCGTCACCTGTGGCAATGCTGGTGATCACCGACTTGTCCAGCTGTGGGCAAGATGTGGGTGATGAGAGGAAAGGTGGGGCCTTTGTTCCCCCTAGCCCCCAGTATCAGGCCCCGCCCCCACCTGGATAATGAGTTTAGTGAAAGGCTCTGTGATGATCTTCAGCAGGTCAGGGGCGTCCCGGCCACCACGGATGTTGAAGGAGGCAACCACTAGTTGAGTGACGTGGTGCAGGTACCCAGTAGCAGCCTCAAGGGGCAGCAGGACCAGGACAGACAGCCAGTTGAAGCAATCATGCACGGTGGCACCTGCAAAGGCCCTGGGCAGGGAGGCCATGTTGCAGGCCGCTCATGCTGGGGGTTCCTGCTATCAGGGACCACCCTCCCCCGGCAAACACAGGCCCTCACCACTCTACCCCCTCACCGCCGGAAGTCAGTCCTGTCCCCGGCCTGCATCAGGGCCACGATGGTGTTGGTGACAGAGGTGCCAATGTTGGAGCCCATGATGATGGGGATGGCAGAGCTCACTTCTAGCACTGGTAGAAGAGTGCACTGAGTTGGGTCACACAGCTCCGGCCCCTACAACAGTCCTGCCAGATTCACTCCCCATGTCTCACCCCAGTGGGCATTCTTTCCATGCTTCTGGTTCTACCCAGACTTGGTTCAGTGTCATGGTACAAGTGGGCACACTGCATGTGCTCATAGGTGCAGACGTGTGTGGACACATGTACATGTGAGGGCTAGTGTCCTCTATGCAAATGCATATCTGTGCTTGTGTGTGCATTAGTGTGATGGTTAATTTCATGTGTCAGCTTAGCTAGGCTCTAGTCCTCAGTCCTTCAATCCAATGCTAATCTAGATGTTACAGATGTGATTCACTTCTACGATCAGTTGATTCAAATAAAGAAAGTTATTTTCCATAACCTGGGTGGCCCTCATTCAATGAGATAAAAACCTTAAGAGTAAGACAGAATTCTACTCTTGGACTGTGCTTTTGCCCTACAGTTGCAACCTGTCCTTTGCGATGGCCTGCCTGACAGGTTTCCAACTTGCCTGGTCTATTTCAAAATCAGAGGTGCTAATTCCCTGCAATGAGTCATATGTCTATACAGTTGGCCCTGGAACAATATGGGAGCTATGAGAACCAACCCCTGTACTGTCAAAAATGCACAAATGCACTTTTGACTCCCCCAAAACTAAATCCCTTGGTATCCATGGGGGATTGGTTTCAGGATCCCCAGATACCAAAATCTGTAGATACTCAAGTCCCTGGCAGTCTGCCCTCTGGATCCATGGGTTTCTACATCTAGGATTCAACTAGCCAACATACTCAGTTGCTTGAGTCCTTGAACGCAGAACTTGTGGGCAGAAAAAAAAAATCCCTGTGTAAATGGACTCATGCCGTTTAACTTGTGCTGTTCAAGGGTCAACTGCACAGCTCTTGTTCTGTTCTGTTTCCCTGCAGAAGGAGTAATGATGATGTGGCAATATGGAGGTGCATGTTCCTAGGGCTTTACTCCCCTTTTGACATCTTTCTAACTCATGCGGCACCCCGGTCCCCGCCGACTCCCAGCCATGTTGGGAGGACAGAGTGGGAGAAGCTAGAGCCCTGCCCTTGGCCCTCAGACCCCCATCCCTACTCCTGCCCTTGCCCTGATAGGCCACCTCAGCCCCTTGTCCAGCCCCTTTCCCCACCCCCACCCCCAGGCTCCAGGCTTATTCCCTGGTGAGCCAACTCACAGCCAGAGGAGACCATGCTGACAATGATGGAGGTAGAGGTACTGGAGCTCTGTACCAGCACAGTGACCAGGATCCCCACCACCAGCCCGGCCACAGGATTGGACAGGATGGCGTTGTCTTTGAAGATGTCACCAGCCACCTTCCCTAGGGAGCATGAACCAGTGTTGTCTCAGGCCAGACAGGAGCCTTCCCCCACTCCTCTCCTCTAGCCCTACCTCCAGCCAGCTGGAAGGCTGAGCTGAGCACATCCAGGGAGCAGACAAAGAGGTAGAGGAAGGTGAGCATCAGTGGCACCTTGAGGATCGTCATGCCAGCCCGGTGCAGCTTCTGGGCCAACCTGGGCTCTGGAGATGGACCAGCCATGAGCACAGTGCTAAGGGACCCGGATAGTGGCTACTGATGCCTCTGCTGCCCCCACCCAGGCTCACCTGGCTTCTGCTCCTCCTCCAGGGCCAGCTTGGCAGGCAGTGGGTCATGGTGCTCCAGAACCTCCCCATAGGGGCAGCCGTGCTCAGTGAGGGCCACAGGGCCCAGGCTGGGGAAGGCATAGGCGGAGGTCCCTGGGATCCTGTGCAGGACTGGGGAAGAAGGTGGGTCAGGAGTTCCCAGAAGTCCTAGGTCCTGGGGAGGGGCCTCACCCATGATATGGGCAATCATGGGCAAGCAGGGGCTGGGGGTGGGAATTGCACTCACCCTTTGGGCTGGGTACATAGGCAAAGGCTGCCCCATGCATCATGTGCCCCCCGCGGACTGGGAGTGGGGAAACAGCAGGGCCCCCCAGCCTCTCGCCGTAGGACATCATCCTGGGTACACGTGTGGGACTGCATGTCAACACTGAATGACAGCCGCTGTGTCCTGGAAACTCACGCACACTCATGCACCCCCATCTATACCTGCACGTTCACATGCACACACACCCATGGTGTGTGGCCCCAGCATAAACCCAGCAAAACACATATCCTCCCACCCCTCTCCCGCAATCCCCAGAGATGCACGCTCAGGTGCTCAGCGTAGATTCGGGAAATCATTCATTCAGCAAGAATTTACTGGGCATGCTTTATCCCAGGCACTGAATTAGATGCTGGGAGAGAGGGGTGGCTAAATACAGATACAGCTCCCAGGAAGTTCAATGTTTAGTGGAGAGAAAGAGGTAATGAAATAATCCCTTAAATGGGTGGGAAATGACAGATATGGGAGTCACCTGAGTGCTGGGGCACGGGGTAGGCTCTTAGGACAGAGAAGAGGCCATTGGGAGAGGATTGAGTGGTGAGTAAGAGTTAACTGGATGGAGAGGGGGGATGTGTGGGCAGAGGCCCTGGGTCGGGGGTGGGGGCCGGTAGGAGCTGACAATGCCCTGTAGTCAGAGAGGGTTAGGGACTGTATGGTGTTGGCAGAGGCTGCAACTGTGGTCTGGGTTGGGCCATGCAGGGATTTTGTCCATCCCGAGAGCAGTGAGGAGCCACAGGCATCTGCTTGCTTGTGGAAGCACAGGTGCACACTCAGGGAAGGGTCCAATGGCCTGGATTCCAAGTTCTTGGGTTCCCATAACAAATGAACCTCTTTCTGCCTCCACCCCTGTTCCCCAACAATACATAAGCACTGACTACCTTTTTCCCCAGAAGGAGTCTCAGACTGGCACTGGTTTGGTGAGGATTGTCCCCCACCTTACCCCGAAGTCTGGAGGACTGGGCTTGCTTTAGTCTCCTCTGAATCTTCTGAGTTCTTGGCTGTTGGGATGTGGGTACCCCAGTCTGCATCAGCACCTCTTAATCCCCACCCCCAGTGTCATTCCAAAGGTCCTTAGCTGTTAAAGTGGGAATTACAAGCTGAGTTCAAGCCCTGGGAGAGCATGACTGTTTTTTCTCTGGGAGAGCAAGCCAGGCTGGCCTGGGACTGAGATGCTGTAGGCACAGTTAGGACAGAGGTGAGAGGTTGTTTTCTACTAAGAGTTGAGGTTGAGGTTGGGTCATGGGGCCCTGGGCTCACCTTGGGGTTCTGTGTTTCAGTTCCTGCTCAGCTGCTCAGGGAAGCCCCAGGGGCCTGAGGAGGAGCTGGGACCCTCCTCTTTATATCCTCAGGCCAAGGGCAAAGTCCCTAGAAACCTTGCTGCCCTACCTCCATTCCCCAATTAACCTTACTCCTGAGATTCCTCCCAGTTAATTGCTAATCGTGTGTGTTACTTGGGGAGTCAGTGTTCATTCTCTCCCCTCCTCCACATAGACACTGGCCTGAACTGCAACCCAAACCCACCAGACCCAGTGAGGGCACAGACGCATCCCCTGCTGTCCCTCAGGCCCCTTGCTCCCAGGGTTCCCTGAGAAATTCTTGGCCCTACTCCCTTCCCAACCTGAAGGGAGTGATCCAGGGAGAGTCCCAAATATTCTGTGGCCTCTCTCTATGTCTCGGTGTCTGTGAGTATATGTGTCCTGGGAGTGTTTGGAGGAAAGGGAATATGTGATGGAGGAATCAGGTGGAGACAAACCCAGAGACACTGTGTAGTGTAGAATAGAGGAGGGTCTCCAATACCCTCCTGCTGTCCCAGGCTGAGAGAATGCGCAGCCCTTGGCCAGTCCAGGGGAGCCCCCTCTGCATGTTAGAACGGTCCCTCTTGGTGAAGGAACAGGACTTGGGAATGTCAAAGGGAGACAGTCTAGAAGCAGAGAAACCAGTTAAGAGACTGCTGCAATTATCTAGGTGAGAGAATAAGGTCTGGACCATGGTAGAAACAGGAGGGATGGAGAGAAGAGTGTGCATCCTAGGGACAACTGGGCAGTAGAACTGGAGACTGGGAGGTGGGAAGGGGAGGAAATATGTGACAGTAGGGTTTCTGGATCAGGAAGCTGATGATAACACAGGTCTGTTGCAGAATTTCTGAAACGCAGAGAGGGGCTTAAGGAAACTTTGAGAAACTTATTTTCCTTTCCCAGGTCTGTGGAGCCTGAGTTGTGTCCCAGATTCACAGAGAGATGAGAAAGGAGTTTCCCTTACAAGGGATTAAGATTTTATCAGATCCGGTAGTGGTAGGTTCCATTCAAGATCTGACTCAGGCAACTGTCTAAGAAACCAGCCTAACATTGCAAATTACCCATTTATCCATTCACCAATGCACACAGCCACCAACTCACCCATTCATCCTCTATCCACACATCCACCCATCATTCACCCGCTCATCACCCACCCATATCCATCTATCCATCCATCCATCCATCCATCCATCCATCCATCCATCCATCCATCCATCCATCATCTGTCCACCTAGCCAGTCAACTATGTGTCTGTCCATCCATTCCTAAGCACATTAGCTGAATTCCTACACTATGCTGGGTATGGCCAGCTTCTTTTCTAATGCACGCAAGATGGGTATGGCCAGCTTCTTTTCTAATGCACGCAATCCCTGAGTCAGCCTGGAGTTCTGAGACAAGCCTCTCCATCTCCTTGAGCACTAACCCCTTAGCCAATTAAATGGCAATGAACACAGTTTTTCCAGTGAGTTGTGTAGAATTTAATAAGATATGTGACCTATCTCAGTGCCTGGAACAGAGTCCCTGCCTTCTTTGTCCTCTTCATGCTCTCATGCCCTTTTCAGTGTCTTGAGATGAAGCGTCCCAGGCAGGGAAGAGCCCTGCCACCTCTAGGTTCAGCCCTGCCACCTCTATGTAATTATAAGAGATATAATTACAAATTATCGTCTATTTATACACTTAAAATAGTCCCCAAAATTTGAGGTGTGGGATGAAACTGCTGCCATCCTAGCAAAAGTGCCGACACATGGGAGCTACCAGAGCTGCTTTCGGGATTCCTGAGAGGACAGAGAAGGTGGCCAGCATCCAGCCCCCAGGTGTCTTAGCCCCTCTGCTCATCCCAGCCCCCTCCCCACTAACCTTTGGCTCCCCTCCTCCCAGAGACAGACTGTGGGTCCCTTTTGACTCTGCCCATCTGTGCACCTCTACCTCCTCCAGGCCTGCTCTGGGCCGGGAGCCTGGGCTGTTGGTGCTGACTCACATTGAGAAGAGGCACCCTACTGGGGAGGGGCGAGCACAGAGACTATGGTGACAGTTCACGGTGACTTGGTGGTGGGAATGGTACAGGGACTACACCTAGAGGAGAAATCGAACATTGTACAAAAATGAACAACAATGTAAAAATAAATAATAAATATATAAAAATATATTAATAAAAAGGGAGAAAAAGGCACCTGAAAAAGAATTCATTTTTTTTAAAGGAGAAAAAGAACAAAATGGAAACTAAGTTAAGATAAACAGAAGAAAAATTAAAAAAAAAAGAACAGGAAAAAAATTTTTTCAAGAGGGAGAGAGGAGCAGTTTTGCAGGGGAACCGCCAAGATCCTTCTGTACAGAACGTGCGTGAGGCGCCTCTGGCGTGAGCAGTTGGATCTGCGGGTCTGAGCACGCGCTGTGCTGCTCACCCCAGCCAGGCCTCCTGGTGTTCTGGACCTCGGGGAGCAGCGTGTGATCCATCATGAGCCAGGCCCAGAGTGGGTGCCCAACGCACCCATCCACCATCTCCTCCTCTCTAGTCCCTCACTCAGTTCTTCTGGTGCTCCTTTCCTGGGGGCTCCTTTGGCCTTTAGCCCCCCGTCTGGGCCACCGCCTCCCACCAGTGTTATTGCAACAGCCTCCCCATTCTCCTCCCTGCTCCTGCCCCCTCCTAGCACCCTCATAAAAGAAAAAGCAGCCAGCCAGCTTTTCAAAACACAATTCTCATCACGTCTCCCTCCTTCCTTTAAAACCTGCCCCTTGTCACAGTTTGGGAGTCACAGCTTCCCTCCTCACCCCAAGGCTGCCCCTGAGAGAAGATAGAGGAGGTCAGGAGAGAGGAGGCCCAGAGCAGCCCCTCCCTTTAAGCGAAGACAGAGGCTGAGAGCAGCAAAGGAGATGGAGAGGCAGGTAGTACAAGAGCAGAAAGTGGAGGCCTTAGAACTAGGGTCACCCATATTTTGAGACACCAGGGTCAGCTGCTGAGGTGTTGGGTAATGTGAGAACCCAGGGACTCAGTGACTAGGGAGTGTGGCCTGGGGGAGAGCTGGGAAGGGCAGTCTGCCTGGGGCTGGGACGAAGCAGGAGGCAGGAAGTGGAGCTGAGAGAGGCCAACACCAACATGACAGGCTGACAAACAGTGACTATCATCACATGGAAAACCATTTCCCCAGGAACAGCAGGACTGCCAGGGGAGCAGAGAAAGCCCAAGAACAAGTGTCGTGTCCAGGAACTGAGCGAGCTGTGGCAGTTGGCACGTCAACCCTTTCTGCAATTCTCCCTCAAGATCAACTTGCTCCTTAAAGACACATGGTTTGCTATGTGAGGTTTCCACGGGACCTAAGCTTGAGGACAATCAAGAACTAACTTTCCAGACCATCTGTCCCTAGACTGGATTTTTGTGTGTTTTTGTGGCAGGGAGGCTGGCTAATGACCCATGCAATCCCAGGACAGGGGTCCCTGGCAGCACCGTCTGAGACCCCTGCCTCTTTTCCCCAACATGGTTATTTATTCAACCAATATGTCCACCCCTTGGGAGTCGTCATGGTGCTGTACATTGGGAATATGGAGTGAACGTTCTGTCCCAGCATTCGGTCAGCACCACTGCACACACATGGCTATACCTGTGGTCAAGGAAGCCACTTCACCTGTGGGCTGGGAACCAAAGGAGGGGCCGCCCACTGGCTCCCTCAGGGGAACATAGCAATCCCTCCTCTGGCCTCTTTACTGTCCTCTCTCAGAGGGCCTGGACCTCAATCTGAGCTGCCCACCCTGTCCCACCTGAGCCCCATTTTCCAGATGGGGGACCCAGGGCCACAAGATCCTATGGGGCCAGGGCAGGAGCAGCTGACCTGATGATGCCCTGTCCCTGTGTGGGGGAGAATTGCCCTGTGTAATTATTAATCCTGTGGCCCAGGCACTGGCCACTCATTGACTCACGAGGCCAAAGTCTGTGATCAAAAGAGCTGAGACTGCTCCAGGCTTTTCTTAGCAATCACCTCTCCCCTGTGGTTCCCTTCCTCGGGTAGCTCTAGCCCTCAGCCCTTCATGCTGGCCCAGGGACCAACTCTCACTGAGGCTTTGAATAGCAGGTTCCCCGTGGCAGTGTAGGGGGTCTGGCTTCAACATTCCAACCCTGAAGGTCTGGCTCCAATCTCTGATTGCAGATTCCAGACTCCAGATTCTGAACTTGAGCTCTTGGCTTCTTGTCCTGGGTCTGGGCTCCAAGCTCTAGTTCCAGGCTTTGTGCGCTAGCTCCAAGCTCCAGTTCCACAATCCACACTCTGGGAGTATTTGGGTCACTTCTGGGTTCCTTCAGCCCCTCAGCCATCACCTCCTAGGCCAATAGGATCCTCCCTGCCCACCCATCTTAGCTGGCCAGGGCTTCAGCCTGGCCATTAGCACTGCGGGCTGCACTGGAGGTGGGATGCTGGTTCTATGGTGCTTGTCCATAGACATGCACATGGAATACGTCCATGTGGTTTTCTACTTCTGCCCTCCCCTCAGGCCTGTATTCTGGAGACACAGAGGACCCCTGCTCTGACCTTGAGATATCACAAGACCCATACACACATTCATGTTCTCAGCTCTTCTTGGGTTCCCCAGGGCCACCACATACGTGAATGGCGCCCCCTGCAGTTGTGCAACCGTGTAGGCGAGTGCCCAGCCAGAACTCTGATTCAATGTGACCCAGTGTGTGTATTCTTCCCCATGTAAGCTTTCGTTTCCCTGTGGAGGTGAATTCCAGTCCCTAATTGCCCAGAAGCTGGAGTCACCTGACCTGCAAGTCAGGGTCCCCTGCCAGGTGCACCTTGTGCTCACCCATGGTAAGGGTGACTGCCCCAGAGAGCACAGACCTACAGCTGCATCAGCACTTCAGCTGAACTCCAGGTAAGTAGCCAGTGCTTCTACCTGCCCCACCTGGCCCAGGGCCAAGGTCAGTGTGTGCCCTGCGCTCGCTCACCCTGGGCCCCTTCTATGTCATCCTCTTCCCTGGCCCCAAGGCCCTGAGGTTGGGGGGGGGTGGGGGGCAAGAGACAAATAACAAGATTCTCTTTCGGGAGCTTGGTGTCAGAGGAGTATGCATCCCACCTGTTCTCTCAGCCCCACTGTCCTCTGTGACATGAGATACTGGAGGTTGCAGAGTGGTCCACAAATGTACATTCTCTCTCTTCCGTCACGCTGGGCACTGGGTGGACAGGCCAACTACCCTCCCACCTACAGGGGTTGAGAGGACGCAGCTCTGCTACTTTTCTGGCCACCTAGGAGTCGAGCTCCATGCAGTGTGATGATTGGGGGGTACCCCTTTCTGGGGCCTGAGCCCCCTTTGCTGCAGATGAGGCCGGCCTGGCTGGGACAATAAGAACTCAGGGCCTGTAGGAATTATGAAAACCAGGTCTCTCTCAGCCCAAGGTGGCTTCAGGGGGGTGCTGGGAGCGGGGATTGTGGCAGGACACACATCCAGCCAAGCAAAATGGGTCCAGAAGTGGGGGTGGATTGAAGCCCCCAAAGAACTGGGTTCTATTTCTGTAGAAAGGGGTGGTGAGAAGTGGCCTTGAGGAGTTCTTTGTGTGATAATTATATTTAATTGCATCCTTACAAATTATTAAAGTTAAGGGAATCTCTTTTGACCACTATCCAATCCAGGTCCTTCCTATCAGTTCAACATATCCTTCTAGAACATTCTTTCTCCTGTCTGTACACTTATAAGTGCCTGCGTGTTTGTGGTTTATATATAGGCATCATGCCATATGTACTTCTCTTCTTTCTTTTACTGAATAATAGCACATCTTTACTGAATAATAGCACATCTCTGTTGGAGAACTTTCCAACAGAAAACATTGTACATGATTTTCCATCTGTTATGTGATGTGGCAGAGGATGGACACACCACCATGTGCTCGGTGACCTCACACACCACTCCTGTTCACATTTGGCTGTTTGCCAGTTTATGGGCCACAGACAACCCTGGGGGTGGGTTGTGTTTTTAATTTTTAGCAGAAACTCCCAAACTGTGGCCCTACATAGCCACGTCAATGTACTCTCTCCAAAGAGGGCCCAAGCTCCCCATTTGGGGTGGTCTCTGTAGCATCTGGGCCTTCTTAGGCATGTGTCCTGGGTCAGATAACCTGTGTGCTGGTGACACTCTAGTGACGATTCCCTGTGGGATCCCAGTCTAGGAATTTTCCCTCCTGAAGTGCCTCTCCCCACCCCCACCCCAGCCAGGCTGTTTTGTTATGAAGTCAAAAATGAGATAAAGGATGGAGCGGCTCTAACTTGGGGGCTTTGGTTGATGTGAACCTTCCCCCTGCAGGGGCCCATCGCTGTAGAGACACTTCCATCTGACTTGTGACCATGGCATGGGCCAGTCTCCTTAGGAAAGGGAGTCTGTACCAGGGTGGGGGGCTTGGCCTACAGGATCTACTGGCTTTGGGAAGATACCCCTTTTCTCACCTGGTGTCCCCACCTCTCTGTCCTATGGAAATGGAAGTGTGTCTCCTCCCACAAGGGAGAAGCCCCAGGGAGGTTCTGTAGCTGACCAAGGGAGGGGCATGTCTGGTCTCCATACCCCCATTTCTGACCACAGGCTGTAACCCTGATGCTGTGTAGTCCCCTATCCAGAACCCCAAAAGCCTGCTGTGCTTTGCTGGAACTATCTGAAGTTGCGGCATCATTTGTCAGTCCAAGGGGACAGAGCAGTGATAAGATGGACAAAGTTCCTGTCAACAGGGTGCTCACATCATGTAAGCAAACAAGCATGAATAAGTCACAGGGTCATTCTTAAGGTGGGTTGAGTACCGTGAAAGAAGAAAACTGGAGAGAACAGAGCTGGGGAGCACTTCATATAGGATGTCTTAGTTCATTCAGGCTGCAGCAATAGAATTCCAGAATATCAGAGACTGGGTAGCCGATAAACAGCAGACATTTATTTCTCACAGTTCTAGAGGTTGGAAATCCAAAGATCAGGGCTCTTTTCTGGGTTGTAGCTGGTCAACTTCTCCCTGTGTCCCCACCAGGCAGAAGGGGTAAAGGAGATCTCTGGGGTCCCTATTATAAGGATCTTTAATCCCATTCATGAGGGCTCAATCCTCATTAGGTGTAATGACACCCCAAAGGCCCCACCTCCTAATACTGGGGGTTACTATCAACATATGAGTTGGGGGGGCGGGCACAAACACTAAGACTAGAGCATCCCATGACCAGGGGAGGCTCCTCTGAAGTGTTCAGGCTGAGCTTGTCTGGGAAGCAGGAATTTTGTGGTTGTGGGTCTCAGCAACCCCACCCAGAGTTGCAAGCACACACATATCAAAAGAATGTGTTGGCTCGCCTAACCAAAAAGTCTGGGCCAGCTGACTTCAGGCATGCATGGCTGAATTTAGGCATTTGGGTCAATTTTGTCAGGAATCCTCTTCCACTCTCTGTCCTGCTCTCGCTGGGGGCTTTATTACATTGAGCTTCTCTCCCAGAATGTCCTTTCTGCACATCCCCAGGAGATGGTAAAAAATGACGAGAGTTGGGATTCTGACTGGGATTAGAGGTCATCCCTGAACAAAACTCTGATTAGCCAGGTCTAGATTTTGAGATACCCCAGCAGCCAGGGGATGTGGTCATCCCATCCCACAAAAGGGGCTGAGGAGACAGTGGGCTAGCACCCCCCAACCCCAGGAAGGCTTGAGTTTGATTTCCAACTTCCCTAGAAAGTTACTGTGAGCCAGCGATCCCCTCTGACCTCAGGCAGGAATTTCAGGGTTGAGGAGTCAGTCATGGGACTGGGGGCAGTAAGAGGCAAGTGCAGTGGGGAAGAGGGCCCTTATTCCCGGGGTGCCTTCCCAAGGCTCCCGTGTAGCTATGTGTCAGCATCAAGCTGAGTCTGACTTCTCTGCCTGTAGGCTGGGAGCCCCTTCCTTGCATCGTTCCAGGCTTCCCTGGCTGTCCCCACTCAGCCAAAGCAGGCGAGAGGTGGAGCCTGCCCCACCACAACCACGTGTCTACCACGGCTTCAATGCATCCAAGGGAGCCTGCAGCAGCTCTGCAGACACACTCAGTCCCCAGCAGAAGCAGAGGACAGCAACCGGAGGGTGCATACAGATCCAGAGACCATGAGATTGCTTGGAGACACCTGGCAAAGGCAGGGTTCCCCAAAGGAAACTCTCCCCTTACCCCACCCTCCAACACCTTCCTTCTTGCTGTCTCTGTCTCTTACACCCCCATACTCTGTGCAGTCAGGAAGAGAGGTTCTGACAACAGGAAGTCAGGGGGCACATCCTGAAGTCCTTGATAGCTTCCTGGCACTGACCCTGGTGACAGGCAGTGCGGTTTGGGGTGGAGGGGCACAGCGTAGACTGGTATGTAAGAAACACGCCTCATGGCAGAATAATAATAATTATTATAATAATAATATCATACATCCAGGACAAACCCAGCTGCCCCAAGCCAACTGCAAAATCCATATGTACAGTAGAATTTATGTAGGTAGAGGGAGGGGCTGCCCACCTGCCTGCACCCCCAGGTCTTACTCATACCAGCTCCCTGAGGAAGGGCCGGCCCCTCCTCCTGCTCCCCACTGAGGCTTGGCACCAGGTGGGGAGGCTGGCACTGCCAACGCCATCCCTCCCTGTTGAGCAAGCCTGCCCTGGGGACTAGGTCCACCTCCCTGCAGTGGCCTGGCTGTAAGGTATGGGTGGGGGAGCCTGTGCAGGACCAAGTGGTGGCAGCTGTTAGGTATGGCTCCTCTGAAGCAGCTCCTCACCCCTCCCAGCCCTGCCCTCGGGCCTGCCCGTGGCAGGAAGGGGCCAGGGACACTCATGGCACATACAGGGCATGCAGAGCGGGCCCATGGCATGCTTGGCCCACAAGGTGCCATGCAGTGGGCCTGGACTGTTGGGCAATAGTCAGAGGGCCGAGTGGGCAGTGGAGTCCGAGGAGCCCCCTTTGGTCTGGACCGCTGATTCAGTCTGTGGTGAGGCTTCCTGGGAACTGGACCCTTGAGCAGGCAGCTGCAAAAATTCTGGAAGCACCAGGTCCTCTTTGCGCAGAAGGCCCCTCTGGTCATGGGCCCCACTGCTCTGTACCCGGTTCAGCAGCTCCACCAAGCCTGGGGATGGCCATAGAATCAGGGGTTGCCTAGCAGACCTGCCTAGGCTAGCCCACCATAGTCCCACTATCCTCACTGCCTCCCTGACCCCTTAGTTCGCCCCTGGTCATCCAACTCCAGTGGACCTTAGTTCTCTTGTTCCAGCCCCAATGGCATCCAGTCCCCTGCTTTAGCTCAAGCCTTCTGCTGCCACCCACCCTCAATGGTGTCCAACTCTTTTGGTCACAACCCCCCACCATCTCCACTATACCTTCAATGTCACACGTCTGCCGCTTCCCAGCGACACTACTGGACGCCTCGGCCAGCGAGTTGAGGGGCGGTGGAGAAGGCTGGGCTGCCTTGTTCTGGGTTCTAGGTGGGTCACCCTGCGAGAAGGTGTGGTCAGAGTCATAGCTGAGAGAGGAGGCATTATGGGCGCCTGAGAGTGCCCACCTCTCCACTCACCTGGCTGCGGCAGGGGGATGTGTGGCTGGCTTCGGGGATCTTCACACCTGAGGTAGAGAAGACCACCATCCACAAGCATTTACCAGTCTGGACCCCCTTCCTCCTGGGCCAGAACCCTCCTGGGGACCAAGGAGAGGGGAGGAAGGGGCAACGTTCCCTACCTGGGAGAGTGTCCAAAACCAGTCTCTGGGTGGCCACGGAGCTCACTAGCTTCTCCAGATCCACCGGCTGCTTCTCCCCTGGCTGTGGGGACAGGTCAGCAGCCCGCGGGACAGGCAGCTTGCTCCCCACCACTGCGCCCCGGCCCCAAGGACCTGCCACTCACCCGGTGGAGTGACACCTGTTGTGGACTCAGGCAGTGCTTCGCCAGGATGGGCTGCAGTGCCTCCTGCAGCCGCTTGGTGGGCTTAGCAGAGATCCGCACCACACGGTCCAGCGCTGCCACCTCCAGCCTGCAGAGAGCCTGGAGCTGCAGAAGGGCAGGACCCCACCCGGATCTCCCCCAACCCACTTGTGACAAATCCCACGCTGACTGGGCAAGAACTGGGGGGACGAAACTGGCTGGGGGTGGGGGCTCAGACTGGGGTGGGGTAGGGTGGGTAGCACAAGAGATGGGACTTAGGGAGAACATGAGCCCCAACTAGGGTCCCAGTTGGGATCCAAACTCAAGCCTGGAGGGAGAAGCACTCACTCAAAGGTGATCCAGTTCTCCAGCCGCACTTCCTGGTCGGCCAGCACCGTGCAGTCCTGATCCAGAACCAGAGCCTTCTGCAGACAGCAGACAGGGTTTCAGCCACCCTCCCACCCACTCCAAGCAGTCTGCTGATGGGAGGGAGCCACCTTCACTTCCTCCAGTGGCTGCCACTGGGGATCCCTAAGGTCAGAGGGACTCCCAGTGTGCTGGTGATTCATAGCTATGGGGATGGGGACAAGAGCCTGGCATGACCACCCCTGGGATGGCAAGAATGCCGGGAAGACTTTGAAAAGGCAGGTGTCATAGGAAACATGGAGATGGGATTGGGCACCAAGTGGTAATGGGATTGCTTGGGTAAGAGACAGGTTTAGGTCCTGGGTTTTGAGGTGTCCTCTTCCTGGGCCAGGCCAGCACCTGCCTCCTGGATAGCCATCCTATACTTCTTCAGGCATGAGAAGCCCAACCAAGTCAGTCAGATCCCATTTCCTCCCTTGCCACCCATACTGGGACAGCTATCCAGGCCTTGTCCCTTTTCTGACATTTGTCTACTTCTCCCTTTCCCACCTGCTGAGGACACTTCTTGTCTCCTCACTGCAAAAAGGGTCCCTCCCCCAAGATCCCCAATTAGGATGTGAAGTTCCAAGGCCATTCCTAATCTCCCGGACCTACCCTAATTCCAGCCCCATTCCCTATTAGGATGTGAAGTAGCTGGCATGGGACCTGGCACACAGTAGGTACATAAACAGTAACTGTAGTGACTACCACCTCCAGCGACCCTACTGCTTGAACGTGCCCCAGGGGGCTGGGGAGACACCCTCTTCCAGGGGATAGGCCTGTGCTATTCTGCAGGAACAGGTGGGATGTGGGTGGTGAAGTTATATTTAGGCATTGTGAAAGCCCATCTGGGCTGTGGAGGCTGCCAGAGGGCCAGAGAGAGTGGGCAGAGCGCCTCCTATTGCTGCCCGCACTCTCCCATCAACCAGGCCCCTGAACTTGTCCTGCACTTCTTAGCCACCTCCAGGCCTCTGCTTCAGCTATTCTCTTGGCTTGTAATGTCTTCCCCTGTGTCAGGTAAACTCCTCCCATCTTCATCAATTGTGACCTCTTCCATGAAGCTTTCCTGGCATCGGTCAGAAAACCTCCCTTCCTCCCCAGAAACTCTCATTGGGGAGGGAATTGACTCCTTCTCCCTGATCACATCTTGCATGGCTCACCTCTAGCCTGTGGACCTGGAGGACAGTGCTCAGGCCCAGGTCCCACGCTGACCCACCTGGCAGGACCTTATAGGCTTATCTACGGGGTGAATGGAACCCAGCTGGGTCCCCTGGAGCATTCTTTTTATTTATTTATTTATTTATTTATTTATTTATTTATTTATTTATTTTTAAATAATAAATTTTATTTTTATATTCCCCATACAATTGCAACCCCCCATCTGACCCCAATCCCTCCCCTCCCGCCCCCCACCCCCCAAAAAGTGTCTCTGGTTCATAGTTTTTTGTTGATTTTGATTTTCACTTTCTTATAGTTATTCATTTTCCTGGTCCCTTATTTAAGTTTTCTAGATTCCTGCTATGAGTGAGACCATCCTGAAGCATTCTTTATCTCTGCCTTACTGGATAGTTTAAAGTAAGATTTTTCTAGACTCCTCTTTGAAGTTTATGCTAGTTTGCATCTAAAGTTTTTCATGGGTGCCCCTGCTATCAGAGCAGAGAAGGTGAGGACTCCCTAAATGACTATTTCATGGATGAGCAGTATAAACTCTGGGGGTCATGGGGGAAATCCCGGCTTCATCAATGGTTCCTCCTAACCCTCTCACCAACTCCCAGAGTGTCTGGGACTACCACAGTGAGGATGATAGGTGAAGACAGAAACTAGGATGGGGAGAAAGTAGGGATAGGATTTTGTAGGACAAGAATGGGTGTCTGAGTTTGAGGGAGGAGTTGGTGCTGGGCTGATTTAGAGTGGGCATTGAGAGTAGGGGCAGGGTTATAGTGGAGGCTGGAGTTAGGAAGGGGAGTAATAGGGAATGGGGCTGGAATTAGGGTTGGTCCAGGAGATTAGGATTGGCCTTGGGAGTGTGGTCAGGAAAGAGTCAGACAAGAAAGGAGTTGGGGGTCAGGAACAGAAAAGGAATTAGAGCTGGGGACCAGACCAGCTTCATACCTGCTCGTTGCCCACCAGGTAGACTTTGATATCAGGTAGAGAGAGGCCTCGTTTCTCACAGATGCCTGCCAGCATTGCACGGATGGTGAGGCCAGGTCGGGCCAGGGCCAAGGAGGCTGTGCCATCAGGCAGGTACACGCAGCAATACTTTCCTAACCGGTTTTCGCTCTCACCTTCTGAGCTCCCAAGGCTCTTCCGGTGGCTCTGATTTGGGCAGGAGTCGGGAGAGGTCAAAGATACACAGACAAGGTAGGTACATGGACAGGAACGCTCATGGGGTGTGCACACACTCACGTCCAAGAGCATACCTGGTAAGGTAGGGCCTCCTTTATAGCTCACCTAGGTCTATGGGCACCTGGAGACAGGTCCACCCACCCAACTGGGCAGCACACATGCACATACATGCACACACATTGCCTGAGGCATCCATGCCATGCAGGGAGAAAGTAGAAAAGTAAGGTAGACAGGTAAGGTAGTCAGGTAGAAAGTAAGGAGGCAGAGGGGCTGATGCTGGGGAGCAAGTCCCAAGATGGAAGTGGGGACAGTGGCTGGGAATGATGACGCGGCCTCACAAAGGGGACTGGCCCTAGTCCCAACCTCATCTCCCCCAAACAGTTGGCTCACCTCAGATTTGCTGCTGACGAAGGCAAGGAAGCCGAGGTCCAGACTGGCAGAGGAGTTGAGGGAGCCCTGAGACTCTCTGCGCAAGTTGGGAGCTCCAACCGCTAGTTCTAGGGGAGAGGGCGCATTGGGCAGAGTAAACCCTCCTCCCCACACCCACACACCTGCTGAGGCATCTGCCCCAAGGGGTGGATCCTGTGGGCACCCTCCTGCAGGTCTGGGTCCCTGGCAGTTTCGCTATTGATGGGGCTTCCCAAACTTCCGGCGTTTTGCTTGGGAACAGAACCACCCCGGGAACGTGGTGGTCACAGGGACCTGCATTTCGGTTTTCAGACTCACACCGGTCGAATAGGGAAAACTCGCCCAAATTCCTTCCCCTCTCATCTCTGTGGCCCGCTCCTGCCCTCACCCCTGCGGAAGGACTTGCGGAGCTGGCGCCCTCCAGGAACCTCAGTCGAAGGCAGCTGCCCCAACTCCTCCACGCCCAGCGGCAGCGACTTCCCGGGCTTCAGCTTCGGCTTCTGCTGGCGCAGGAAAGGCACTGGGACCGGCCGGGCGCCAGCCTCCGCGCCGACCGCGGGCACAAGCCTGCGGACGGCCCCGCCCCCGCCCCGCCCCCGGCCCCGCCCCCGGCCCCGCCCCCGCGGCCCCGGCCCCGCCCCCGCGGCCCGGGCTCCGCACCTTCCTGCTGGCTTCGGGGCTGCCCAGGCGCGAAGAGCCGGGTTCCCGCAGGGGGCGCCCTTCGGCCTCCGCCAGTAGGCACTCCCGGTACAACGGAGACTTGACGAAGCGCGCGTAGCTGTCGAACTTCATTAAGTTGAAGATCTGTGGAGCCGACGCCGGGCAATGAGGCGGGGACCGGCGCTCCGAGGGCCGCCCGCGTCCCGTCGGGGCCTTGGTGTTGGCGGGGTCCGCAGCCAACTGAGCAAGTCCCTCGCCTCCCCCGCTAAACACCTGGGGCCGCAGGCCGCATCCCTCACCTGGACCGCGCCGGCCCCTCCTTTCGCGCAACGTGCGGTGCGCTCTCCCACCTGTGTCCTGGCCCTGCTTTCAGCGGGGTCCCCGCATCCAAATCTACTTCCCGACGTCTCCACCCCCAATCCTCACTCTGAGACTTCGTTCTCAGATCTGGACCTGCTTTTTTGCTCCATGGTGCTCTGGCGCCAGCGGCCCCCGACTGCTCACCTGAAGCTGCTGTGCCCGGAACATGTCTGGCCTGGGCTCAGCCAGCACCTCCTCCCCGAGCCAGGCTTGCCTGTCGATGTTCACGGGGCTCAGCGCCTGACTGGACAAGAATTCTTGGTAGATGTTGCGGGCCTCCTGAGCTAGCTGGGACAGGGGCAGGAGGGATAGAAGGTCAGGGCACAGCCCATGCCTTGATCCCCACTCTGCTCTGCTCTCTGCTCCAATTCCCTCTTCCCCCAACCTGCTTGGTGTCACTGGCCGGGATCTGCTGGAAGCGCTCGCAGGCCTTCCAGAAAGTCACATTCTCAGCACTGAACTCCTTCTTCAGGAACTCCTTGGGGGTGGAAGGAGGAGGCAGTCAGACACACAGAGACCCCGTCAGGGGAGGCAGTCAAGGAGATTGGGTAGACCCAGGGCTAAGAGGCCAAGCCAGTTAGACAGGGCCAGATCAGGAGGAACAGAGAGAAAATGAAAGGCAGAGTCAGGACAGAAAGAAGCAAAGTTCATAGCTGGGAGAAGAGGGTGACAAAGAAAGGCTGGATGAGGCAAACAACAGAAGAGTCCCACCCTGACCAGACCAAAGGTTCATTCACAGCCTCTCTCATTCCCCACAGCAACTCTCCCACCACCCCCACCACTGCCACCCTCCCTCCCTATCCCACTCCAGGGCTTACAGTGAAGTAAGCCAGACCCAGGGGGTCCTGTAGCAACCGCTCGAAGGACAGGGCCCAGCTGGCCACAGGCTGGTCCTCAGTGGGGAAGGGGCTGCTGGGACCACTGGGGAGGCTGTGGATGCTGAGGGAGCTGCCACGGCCTTCACTCTGGCCCTGCGAGCCTGCTGTGCTACTCAGCTCTGCGGAGGGATAGATAAGTAGAGGTGAGCTTTGCAGCCTCCCCAGTCTCCCGCCCCACCCGACCCCAGGTAGAGCCACTCCACAGGTCCTTTTTCTGGAAAGATAGCAAGTGACAGGGGTGTCTCCACCCCATTTTCATATCCCCCTCCCCTGCTCCACCACCACCAGGCAGACTTCCCACACATACCCTGTCACTTACCTCCATCTGAGACAGCCAGAACCTGCAAGAGACCCGAGGTGGAAAGTCAGGGCAGTGCCCACGCAGGGCACACGTAAGGGTCAGCTCCAGGCCCAGTCACCTGGACTGGAGCTGTGTTCTCCTCTGCCCAGAAAGCCATACTAGGCATCCCTGGCCAGGTCCCTGCTGGTCAGTATTTGTTCAATCTGTCCCTAGCTCCCCAACTACCACATGCCAAACACTATGCGTTGGGTCTTATGCCAGGTACCTTCCAGTTACCCTTGGCTCCCTCCTCCACCAGCACATGCTGGAAGAGCCCAGGTACAAAGCTGGTGGGTAGAAGCACAGACTTAGAACCCTGCTTCTGCCACTTGCTAGCTGTGTGCCTTTGGGCAAGTAACTTGTCTCCATCTGTGACTAGGGGATGATGGTAAGTTTCTTCTGGGGGCTGTTGTGAAGATAAAATCAGTGGAATGTATTTTCAGCATCTAGAATGGTCATCAGCACGTGGCAGGGGCTATATCAGTACTTGCTGTTGTCGTTGAGGAAGGAGAGGTCTCTCTGCAGCCTGACCTTCCTCATTGCAACTGTTCCCTCATGGGACCCAGGGTCTTCCCTGGGTGCCACTCTCACCTTGAGCAGGCATAGGACATTTTATAGTATCAAGAAGGTGTTCTTCAACTTTAGTATGCAGCAGAATGACTGGAAGAAGCCCACCTCCAATTTCAAGTTCAAGAAGGTGCAGGTTGGGGTCTGAGACACCACATTTCAGCACCTGGTGCATGGACCACACTTTGAGCAGCAATGCTATAGAGGCCAATTCCATCCTCACCCTCCGCCCTAGGCTCCAGCCTCTCTAAAGCACAGCTCTGACTTCTCTGGGAATCCCAACCACTAGTGAAACAAACCAAAAAAAACCTCCTTTCAAAATGACTCTTGCTGTAGTTTCCCTTGGTCTTCTGCCTACTTTTCTAGCAGCCCCCCAGCTTCCTCATTACCTCCTACCCAAGCAAGGCAGAAAAAGGAAGGAAGAAACTGAGCACAGAGAGATACACCACATCTCTCTGCTCTGGGGCCCTTCTCCATCCCACCTATCCCCAGATGCAACACACAGTTTCTGCTAACGTCTCCACCCAAATGTCCCACAAACCCCTCAAACCCAGCTAGTTCCAAGTGGAAGCCATCAAAGCCACCACCAAAGCAGGCCATGGAGCAGGCTTCCCCGCAGCCTGCCATTCTTCCCCTCACCTGCTTCCTGACACCAGGACTACGTCACTCCAAGTCCTTCCTCCCTCTCACCTTCCACATCTTCACTAGACTCCGTCACCTAGCGCTTTCCCCACCTGTCCCCTTGTACCATCCTCCCCACTGGAAACAGGTCTGCAAGCATCTCCTCCCCAGGAAGCCTCTCCCTACCCTAATGCCTGGAACCTCACTCTCTGCTCCCCACCTCACGGGAGTACCTGGCTCTCAACTCTGTAGGCCCAGCTGCTCTGCACATTCTTTGGACATTATTATCTTGGTCCTCAGAATGTTTTTTTCTTTTTTCAGTTTAAAGGGAATACAGTTAAAAGTTAAAATGTGTTTCCCATGTTTAAAAATCAGGAGTTTTACATAATATGCTCTGCTTTCTGTCTCCTTTTTAAGACCAGGATGCCCCATTCTCCTGAGTGTCTTCCCAGCCAGAAGCAGCAACTTCCCTGAGCAACAACTGCGTTCTCTAAAAGGCCCCATGCTCTCAGGGGTCTCTGGGGCCAGTTAGATGCATTTTTATCACTTTTGGAGGCAGACAGCCTGGGTTCAAATCTGTGCTGTGTGACCTTGGACAGGGGACTGTATCTCTCTGTGCTCGGTTTCTTCCTTTATAAAAGTGGGGCAAATAATGATCCTAATTTGTGATTAAGTATGTATAAAGAATTGCGAACACACTACCTGGTGTGTAGTCAGTGTTCAGGCATAATACTGTTACTATTGCTCTTGTGTTGGTGCTGGTGTATGAACCTGCTAGGCATTCTAGATTTGTGGAGGAAAGAGAGCAGGCGCTGCAGTCCCGGATTCAAATTCCAGCGCTACCCTTTTCTGGTTTTCCAACTTGTCTCCTCCTGAGCCTGGGCTCCCACCTGGGGCACAAGGATAAGAGGAGGGGTGTGTATGCCAAGAGTGGCACACAGACCTGCTACCCCAGGCACCCCGCCCTTGCCATCCTGCTTCTGCACCTGTCCAGCTGATGACTTCACCCCACCGCTGCTGGAGAAAATCCCAACTCTGGGGGGTGTGAGCAGGAGACCTGAAGCCTAAGGTCCCTCCCAGCATGCTCTTTCCCTTCCGAGCAGCTTCATTCATCTTCATGTCTGCGTACCTGGTGTTTTTCCTCCCCAGCCTCAGTGCCCCCATCGCTGTCATGGCCCTGCCACTGGGTTTTCAGGAACTTCATGACTCCCATCTTCCGAGGTAGTGCCTGGTCCCCTCACCTCCCTTTAGCCCAGGATTCGGCTTCCTCCTTGCTCAGCTTCCTCCCACAAGGCTGCTGGGGCAGACCAGGAGCCCCAAGGAGGACAAAGGTGCCAATCCACACGCCTATCTTATTTTATTCCTTATAGTCAGTGTCTGTGGCTTTAGGTGGGGCTGGCCCCCAAGTCCTCTGGCCTGACTCCCTGCCCTGGAAGGGGGAGCAGTTGCCAGGTTACAGCTGAAAATCTGCCTGGGCTTGACTAATGAGCCCCTTCAGCCTCCCCCAGTTTCCTCCCCCTCACCACCCTACACTATCAAACTTTTCTATTCTCTTCATGCCCCTACTCACTCCTGCTTCCTGCTTTGCTGTTTTCTCTGCCTGGGTTCCTGCTCCTGCTGCCCCCACCGACAGCACTCCAGTCTCTGTCTGTTGACGTCAGTCATCCCCAACACCGTGGCCTGAAGCCCCTTTCTCACCACACCTCTGCCCACTGGCGTCTGGGCCCCTCTCCCCGGCCAGCCTGGCAGCTTCCTCCCGGGGAATGGCCTGGTTTGTCGGAGGGAACCGGTCTGAATCCTCTCCTCACACAGCCCTCTCCTCGCAACCTGCCCCCAGCTGACTTCAGGGCCCCAAGCATCTCTCCTCCGCCCTCCAAGGACACTCCTGTACCCCCCTCACTAGGGATGCTCTGCCTTGGAGCACCCCATCTTGGGCTTGGAGTTCAACCTCCTGAGCCCTCTTGCCCACTTGCTGTCGGCCCCTAAAGGGTGTGAACCGAGATTCAGAGAAGGAACAGAGCAGAGATGGGGGCTCTGCTTCCTAGAGCCTCCCTGGGTAGCCTGCGGCTCAGCATTCCCCACCCGCGGAGGCTGCTGGGACGGGTGGAAGAAGCCCCAGGCCTGCATGTGAAAGCTTAGGCAGGCAGCCCACGGAGCAGCACGTCCAGGCATGGAGGGAGGGGAGTTTGGGGGGACACAAACTGCTGCCACCTGCACAGGCTCCAGACCTAGGGAAGTTGTTTGATGGCGGCTGCCCTGGCTCCACCCTGGCCTGCTTAAGAAGTGGTGAGGGAATGGGAGAAAAGAGGAAGAAAAGATGAGGAAGGGTGTGGTGGCCTGTGACTCTCGACCTTTGTCAGGTCTCAATTTGTCAGACTTTTTTTCTTAAGAAGTGGATCTTGCGGGAGCTGCTGGTATTAGAGAATACTAAATAGCCCAGCATGGCCTGAGCGCCGATTGTGTGCCAGGCACTCTCTGACAGCACGCACCTGTGTTCTCACTCCATGCTGGCTTCCTATCCTTCCTATCCTATCAACTCCCATTTTACAGATGAGGGAAATGGAGGCCTAAAGAAGTCACACAGTGGGAAAGGGGCCAAGCTAAAATTGCACCCCAAGCATGCCTGACTCTGGAGCCCGAGGTCTTCCCTCCCTTGGTGGACAGGAGAGCCAGGAGGCCCAGGGCCTCAGTCCTTGGGGCACAGGTGGGCAAGGTTAATCAGGGGCTCCTCTTGAACTCTGCCCTTTGGAAGGATCATACCTCAAAGGGAGGGTTGGTTTAATGAGCATTTTCTGCGGCCTCCAACTCATCTCATCCTAGCTTGGGGAAAGTGAAGTGCAGAGATCCTCCCTCTGTATACCCACAGAGAACCCTAAGTACCTGGCTCCTTCGCCTGAGCCAGCCCTCGGGAGCTGAGCCCAGTCCTAGCCCCTCTGAAAGGTACCTGCCCCCTCAGGGCCTTGCCCCGTGCTGGACACCAGGAAAGAGGTAGAGGTCCAGTGGGCTCTGTGTACAGGCCTCCTTGTTAGTGGGAGGACTAGCTGGCCCCCCCCCCCGGGGAATAAGACACAATAATCACTCCTCTCTGGACTTTAGGCCCAGCCTCTCCCTGTTCACCTGTGCCCACCTACCCCGTTCCCCACCTCTTTTGCCCAGCACCCCCTCCTCCATCAGGAAGGCCCTGGCAGGACACGTACCATGCCATGATGCACGGAGTAGGGAACTTCTGTCTCCCTCCTGGTCTCCCTTTGATTTTCTCTATTCCTGACCTGTCACTCTTTCCTAAATCTGAATTTGATTCTGGTCTTTGAACCTATGTTGCCATACCTGGAGCTGCTTGAGGGCAGGGCCGGGCCTGGGGGCTGTTGGGTGAACGAGTGTGTGAGTGAACAAGTGAGTGGCAGCCGGGGCAGTGTGAAGACCTCTCTGGCAAGGGGGCTGAGCGTCTCTCTAAGTGACAGGTTTCATTGCAACTGCCTGACAAGCTGAGTGGCAGGCTGACAAATGAAGCTGTGTCAGCGGGGAATGACAGCAGGTGAGGGTGGCGGCAGGGGGAGGTGGGCGAGGGAGCCAGGCAGTTTGGGGAGGAGGAGGAACCCTGGTATTGAGTCAGAGGAGCCAGGTTCCAAGGTGGGTCCCTTGACCTGCCGACTGCCTTCAGTCAGTGTAATGTACTCCTCTGAGCCTCCCACAAGAAGGAACTCACGGAAGGAGTCAGATACCCCGCCCCCAGGGGTCTGTGCACACCCCTGCCACCCTCTCCTTCAGTCCAGCATGGCCTCAGAAAGCATGGCCAGCAACACGCCCATCTGTGACCCTCCTGATTCCAAGGGGTGTCACAGAAAGTTCAGAAGGGGCCCAGGAAGGGCAAAGATGAACTATGTTGCTGAGAGAAGCCAGGATGGCCCGAGCTAGGGGCAGAGCTAGGGCACCTTCCTCGCTCTGAATGAGTTTTGGGGAAAGGAGCCATGGGTTGATGCAGGAGGGGCAGAGGATGGGTCTGTCACTGGGACCCTCAGCAGGCCTGGAGTGTTGGCACTTCAAGGAAGCACTGACCCGATTGCCCTCTATGGCAGGCATGGGCATGCTCCTCTTCGGACTGGGTACCCAAAGTGGGTCAGCCATGCATCAGGCCTCCAAGTTGGAAGTGCTCGGTCCATGGGTGGCTGCATGTCCCATGAGTGCCCACCATGGGGGCTGCAACACAGACACAGTAAGGTGGGGACTAGGCCAGCCTGATGGGGTTTGCCTCTCCCACCCAGCTAGCCTGCGCCTGGGCAATAAAGAGACGCTTAAAGGAGAGGTGGAGACAGGTCATGGGAATTAGAAGGCAGGAGTGGGGGTATAGGGGTGGCTCATATTCTTGGTGAGGCAAGGGATCCTTGAAGAGGGGCTGAGAATGAAGGGGGGCATCAGGATGACATTTATGGAGCCTCCACAGCAAGCTGAGCAGGGACCCCACATTGATCTTCTACTTAATCATCTCAATAAGCCTTTGAAATGTGTTCCCATCTCCTCATTTTAAAGATGAGGAAACAGGATCAGAGAGAATCCCTAGTAAGGGACAGCAGAGCTGAAATTTAAATCTTTGCCTTTGTCCCACAGTACTAGTTTGCAGCCGGGCTGGGAGCATGGTCTGGACATTGAATGGTCCTCCTGGGGTTGTAAGGATGGGCTGGGGATGGACCAAGTGGGAGAGAAGCAGGGGGAGGGGGAAAGGGCAGCACAGGTTACCCCATCTGCTGAATGAATAAAGGTGCTGGACTCTCTGAGGGCAACTCTGTCTCAGGGGCCAAGCAGTCAGGAAGAAGGTTTTAGGGGGTGGGGCAGCAGCATCCAGAGGGGATCCTAGTGCTTAGCTACCCCCACCCTTCCTGGTAGCCCAGAAAAAGAACAGAGAGGAGTGGCACCAACCTGGCCTGACCCTGCTGGCCTATTCAGGCTGCCCTAGGACTGCTAGTTCTGGCAGGAAGCCTTGGGAGCAGGTCCAGCTGGAGGTGCCCCAGTGAGTGCTGCCCCCAAACTAACCTTGGGCAGCACACTGTGTTGTAAGGAAAGGAAGGCTAAGTGAGGCATGAGGGCTGAGGCCCCTAGGGGGGTGTGCATGCCCGGTCTTCTCCTTGCTACTCTAGGTTATGGGCCTTCCCAGACGGTGCCAAAATAGCAGGTGAGAGAGCAATGGGGGCTGACCCAGACACTTAAGCCTCTGCTCTTGTCTCATCTCCAGGGTCACCCAAATCTCTAGCAAGGACTTCTAGAAGGTCCTGGGGTGGACGTACCAGGTCCCACACTCTGCTGCTGTCTGTTCTCGACTTCTCCCGCCTGCTAGCAGCATGCAGGCTCTTGCCCAGCCCCACAGGCTGCGCCTCCTGGGCTCCACCCTGGGTGTGCCCATACCCTCCCCATGGGCCTGGCCTGGAGCCCACACTCACCATGCGCCCGTTGGGGACACCCAGGTGCTTGGGCTTCCCTGGCATGCCGCTGCTGTTCACGGGTCCCCGCCGCAGGAGGTGCCCACCATGGGGACTGTGGGCAGCGCCGACCAGAGCTTGCACAGCAGCAGGCAGGTGGCGGGCAGGCAACAGAAAGAGCCCTGCTTCACTCCTCCAGGCCCTCACATCCTGAAACACCAGCTCACTACCTCTTTTCTCTGCCACAGGAAGTGTCTCTATAGAAACCGAACCACAGAAAGCAAGGTCTAAGAGAGCGAACGCCTCTTCCTACACATAGACACACACATTCATGCGCACACACACATGCCGCCAACGCACTCTTGGCAACACCCCACGCAGGCACCAGCACTCAGCAGAGGCCTCTGTGTGCCCAGCAAGGAGCCAGCTTGGTCTGGTCCAGCCCAGGGAACTCCAAGGTAATGATCACACATCTTGCAACTGTGCATGCTCTGCCGGGGCACCTGTGGACATGTGCACACCTGCACCGAGTGTCCACACATGTTCTTTACTCAGCAGATTTATCTCACACCTGCTGCACACAGGGCTTGTGCACACTCGGCACCCCTCCCCCAGACAGTGCCATGTGCAGTTACTACTTCCATCCCTGGGCACTTCCCACCCAGGTGGACACATAAAGACACATACAGACCACTCAGGTATAAGTATTAAAAATACAGTCTCTCCCTCGTGAGGAGCGCCTGGGATCCAGTCATATGTATAGTCCCATGGATAGGTGCTAGTGATAGGCACACCAGCACACAGGCACATGTGGACTCAAAGAGCCCAGGGACATGTGCAACCAGGTGTGCACACACTCACCACCTGGGCGGTGCATCTGTGCCCAAAGACACGTGAATTTATTCAGTCACATAAAAAATCTGCTCATTATTCCCACTTTACACATTAGGAAACTGAGACTAAGAGAGAAATGAGTTGCCCAAGGTTACATATCAAGTTAGGGATCAGTTAAGCTTAGCAGATATGAACGTGTGTGTGGAATGGTGGGGAGACTGGGAGTTGGGCCGCGGCCATGACCAGGCCAAGGGGTCACAACTCACCTTCCTCCCTTCCAAAGGTCCTATCACAGGCTCTGCCTGGGACCACTTCTTAAGGTCATCCTCCCTGCTGCTGCAGCAGTGCTCTGCATATCTCCATTGTAGATGCCAATTTCAGCTCTGACCACTTCACCCCAGGGACCCCATCAACTCTGGGACTTCCCAGCTTGTCCTCCCTGGGTGTGGTGGAGTACCTCCATCCCATAGAACATTGTTCTCAACTTCTTTCTCCTGATTTCCTACAGGGGATCAGGTACCGATGTTTAGTCTCCCTGTGGGACTTCTGATCCTCCTTCCCTGCGGAGACCTCTCTTGTTGAAGTCTTGTCCTCTCTCATTTGCTTATGATGACTTCCTTTTCAGTCTCCTTACCTATTAGTCCCCTCCTAGCTATGGTAACATAGCCAGAGAAACCTACCTTGGGCACACCATGCTTAAAACCACCCCCACTGCCTTCTAGGAGAAGGCTATGTTACGACTTAGCTAGGAACTGAAGGCCCTTTGAGTTCAGGACTCAGTCAGACTCCAAATATGCCAACCCCTGTCTTCCCAGGCTCCAGTCTTTCCAAACTGCTTTTTTTTTTTTTTTTTTAATAGAGGCATGTTTGTTTGTTTATTTATTTATTTGTTTGTTTTTGTTCATACATGCACTGGGTACAGTCAGAAGCGCGGGAGGGTGAGAGAATTCACCAGAGCCAGAGTGGGGAGCAGAGCAGGCAGGCAGAAGGACCGAAGTACACTGCTGAGGGGAGCAGCGGGCCGCAGGAGAGGTCTGCGCGCCATGTGGGACCCTCCTCTGGTGGCCGGGGAGCAGCCGGGGATCGAACCGGCGCCTCAGAGGCTGCGGGCAGCTTCGCAACCCAGCGCTCAACCGCTGCGCCACCGGGGAGGCCCCCAAACTGCTTTTGTTCCTTAAGTTTTCAGACCTCCCTCCCTGCCCTTACATTTCCTGTTCCCTCTGCTGAGAACGCCTTTCATCTTTCTGATCTTCCTTCATGATCCAGTTCCAGAACAAATATTCATTCTTTCTCCAATTACTTATTAATCATCTCTGATGTGTTAAGCATTCTTCTAGAGGCTGGAAGTCCAAATATGACAAAAATTCCAGGTCTCATGGAGGTCTAGTGTAATGTCCATGCTCCTATTGGATGAATAGAGATAAATCTCTGGAAGAGTGTACTCCTGGGAATGGCAGGAGACGTTTGTTGTAGAGATGTCTGTACTTTATATATACAAACATGTTATTACCCGAGTAACAAAAAAAGTTTGCTAAACTTTTATGACCCAGGGCCTCCCTGGTGGCGCAGCGGTTGAGCGCTGGGTTGCGAAGCTGCCCGCGCCCGAGGGGCCGGTTCGATCCCCGGCTGCTCCCCGGCCACCGGAAGAGGGTCCCACATGGCGCGCAGACCTCTCCTGCCGCCCGCTGCTCCCCTCAGCAGTGTACTTCGGTCCTTCTGCCTGCTCTGCTCCCCGCTCTGGCTCTGGTGAATTCTCTCACCCTCCCGTGCTTCTGACTGTACCCAGTGCATGTATAAAACAAACAAACAAACAAACAAACAAATAAATAAAGCATGCCTCTATAAAAAAAAAAAATATATATATATAAACTTTTATGACCCAGAAAAGATGTCATAGCACTTAATCCTGAATAAATTCATTCATTCAAAAGGGCAGCTTCCTAAAATAAAGAGCAACCAATCCAGGATTGCCCGCGTGATCTCTAACAGGGGTCGCTAATTTTATTTTTTTTAAAGATTTATTTATTTATGCATACAAGAGCTGGGTACAGGCCAGAGATGCCGGGGGTGAGAGAATCCACTGGAGACAGAGTGGGGAACAGAACAGGCAGATTGGCCAAAGTACACTGCTGAGCGGAACAGCAGGCGAGTCAGGAGAGGTCTGCTGTGCCATGTGGGTTGCTCCGTGGCAGGCCGGGGATCCAACTCGTGCTGCAGAGGCTGCACCTTGCTTCACAGTGCAGTGCTCATCCCCTTGCCCCGCCAGGGAGGCCCAAGGGGTCGGTAATTTTAACAGCCAGAGAAGCCAGGCAGGGGTTGTAAAGTAGTGGCCAGGTGGAGTCTAGCTTAGAAGAGGAAGGCATTGGCAGTGCCACAGGCCTGGTGTAGTTGGATCTTTTGATGTTTCAGAAAAATGGGAAATTTGTATTTCTAAAGTGAATTTAAGCCTCCTACTTTTTTTTTAAAGATTTATTTATTTATGCATACAAGAGCTGAGGTACAGGCCAGAGATTGGGGGGGGGTGGGGTGGGCGGGGCTGGTGGTGAGAGGATCCACCAGAGACAGAGCAGAGAACACAACAGGCAGATTGACTGAAATACACTGCCGAGGGGAGCAGTGGGCAAGAGAGGAGAGGTCTGCTGCACCATGTGGCTTGCTCCCTGGCCGGCAGGGGATCGAACTCGTGCTGCAGCGGATTGCTTCATAGTGCGGTGCTTAACCCCTTGCGCCACCAGAGAGGCCCCAAGCCCCCTACTTTAAAAATACGGGTAGTTACATCATTATTGAAATAGCATGGGCAAGTAAGAGAGCTCTGCGAGACAGTGGTCCACCAGTTTTCGACCTTTGGTCCACAGTCTGTTTTCCTGCACCGTTTCTGGACGCTTCTTGCTCCATTGAGCGGGCACCATGTTCCGGATGGGTCACGACCGTCACGGGGGTTCCAGGCCAGGATCCGGGTCTGCTCCTCCTGCTTAAACTCAGCTGGTCCTGAGGCGCTGGGAGTAGTGGACGCCCTCAAATATCCAGCTGCAAAGGTGTGTGTGCGAGGGTGGGGCTGGGGGCCCGCTGGCGACCCCAAAGACAGGATTGCTCAGGGTCACTTAATGAGTCCGAGGCAGCGCGAGACTTGGAATTCAGTCCGCCGTGTTCAATACAGAGCTTCATCTTCCTCGAGACTGAAAAAGGTTACTGGAAAGACGGGGCTAATGATCTGCGGCCAAGGACATGATGGTCCCAGCCAGCTCAGTCGGTGCCAGAGGCTCATAAAAACTACGCGTCCCGGCATGCCCCGCGCCGCAGACCGCCCCCGCTGGGCAGCCACTCAAGCTATCTCTCGGTTTCCGTTGGCTGACAAAAGTAACGTGCTAATCCACGATTGGCTGCAGTTCTTGTCGATCGTAAGATCCGGTTGCAGAGGCTGGCCCACAGCTGCCTCGGCGTCTCCAAGGGGATGAAAAGGCCCTGGACCAGAATGGGGGCTGCTCAGCAAAAAAAAGTCGCCGCCCCCTCGGCTGAGAGGTTTTGCTTTTTAACTCCTCGTGCAACTAGGGTTGGAGGGTTTCCGGCCGGAGGCCATTAGATGGCACGCCCGGAAGGCGGAAGCCTAGGACGGAAGTGGCCGAGAGGAACGGAGAATGGCGGCGGAAGGCCTGATTTGGCGCTGGGGCTGGGGCCGGCGGTGCCTGGGAAGGCCTGGGCTTCCCGGCCCCGGCCCTGGCCCCATTTCATTTCTGCTTCTTCTATTTCTGGGGCCGGTGGCTTCAGACATAACTGACGGCAACAGCGAACACCTCAAGCGGGAGCATTCGCTCATCAAACCTTACCAAGGTGAGGCCTGGGGCGTGAGAGTGCGCCAAGCTGGACAGAGTTGGAAAGGGGCGCTCTTTCTCCTGAGCAGAGCAGCTCTGTGGATTTCTTGCCTTTGTCAAGGCCAATCCTGGCATGGCCTCTTACGTACCTGCCTGTGCCTTACAGAGAACGTGCTTATTCGGTCTCTGCCCACAGGGGTCGGTTCCAGTTCCATGCCCCTCTGGGACTTCCAAGGCAGCACGATGCTCACGAGCCAGTATGTGCGTCTGACCCCGGACGAGCGAAGCAAAGAGGGCTCTATCTGGAACCACCAGGTGAGTGGTTCCTAAGTGGCTGGGCACACCGTTAAGTAAGCCATCACTCCCGGCCGCCGCGGCAGCCTTTGGTTTGAAGGCTTGCCCTCCCTCCCCCGCCCCTTCCCCATCTTGGTCACGCCCACCCGTAATAACAAATAATGACGGGACGTTACTGTGTGTCAGGAGCTGTACTTGACATTTTGCACCCTCCTCATTATAGTCTTTCAAAAGCCATGTGAAGTAAGTGGTGTCATCTTCATTTTACTGACCAAGAAGCTAAGACTTAGTTGTAAGTGCTTTACAAAAAGTCGCATGGTAAGTAAGCAGTGGAGCCCACGGGCTCTCTGAACCCTCTCAATAGTGGCATACAGGGAATGATTGGGGACTTTATTGGCTCTTTTGCTGTGTGTTAGGCACTGACCTTAACGTACATGATTGCATTTGGTTTTCAAATAGGCTGTTTGAAATAGATGGTTGTGATGTTATGCAGAGCTAACACAGACAATGGTGTGAGCAGTATTTAAACTCCCATATCTCTGATCTCCAAGCCCAGCAATCTGCTTGCTACATTTCACCCCCTCCACTTGGGCAGTGGAGGAAACCCCTGAGAAATACTTACAGACTCAGTCCCCTTCTCCAGTGCTTGGTTGAGGGTCTTGTCATCAGTACCATGGAGGGACTGCATTTGTGGGCAGTTTTAGTTTCTGTGACCTTTACTCTCAAGGTCAGGGAGCCTTAGGTTTAGCTGGTATGCCACAGGTGACCAAACTAGCAGTGACCAAACTAGCTACTGTACAGACTCCATATTGAGGAAGTGTAGGTCAAGAAAGAGATGAGAGGGGAATAATTTTGGTCTAGGCCGCAACTTGGAACAGAACCTGTACCTGCCCCCACCTGACTGGTCTGTACCCTTCCCACAACCTGCGCTCTTGGCCAGTGTCTTAGTTTTCTCCATTCTTTAGTCCCTTCTGGCTGACTTCCCTGTTTAGGTCTGTCCTTGTGTTGCCTCATCTGCCTCAGCAACTCCTCTCCTTACTGCGAGGGGCATCTGGAGTTACTTTCTTCAGCTTTTGCTCTGATTCTCAGAGCCTGGGGTCTCCTGTGAAGTGGTAAACATGAATTATGTCTGCGCAGTCTGGCCCCTGGCATCTCCAGTCATTCACTTTTTTGGTTTCGTTCCAGCCTCTTTGGCTGCCTTCTTGCCTCAGGACCTTTGCACTTGTTGTTCCTGCAGTCTGGGACACTGCCTTCTGGCTCTTCATGCTTGCTTGGTTCCTTCTCATCTGTTAAGTCTCAGATCGAGTGCCACCCACTCAGACAGTGCTTCGTTAACTACCTTATCTCCCCCAAGTCACCACAGTCTGTCACATTATTCTGTCTTAGGTCTTTCAGTTAATTTTTAAAAATGATAATGTAGCCTTATATTTTTCATGGAAATGAGTTCAGTATAGCAGTGAAGTATTTTTTCTTTAAGGAAGGTACAAATAGTGCTAGAACTGTTTGAAATTGGGTTTAGTCACAAGTAACTTAATTATAGTTGTAGGTAGCTGGTGGTTGGCATTGTCAGTGGCTTGACAATGTCACAGGGCTGGCAATTCTGCACTAGTGTTCATCAGATTTCCACATCCTGGAATATGATTGTCTTGTCCTCTTTTCCTCACTTCCTGATTCAGTTCTAGGGACCTTTCTTATTGGGCTGGCAGGGACTCCCTAAATGGCTGGAGTGTTTCCTATAGTTCCTGAGAGAAATTGCTTGGGATTCTTAGGATTTTCTACCCAGTGCTTCTCTAGAAGTGTGCCTCTGTCTTCAGTGAACTAGAGAGATGCTTTCTGGACTTTGCTCTTTTTTGTCCCTCTCCCTCCCTCTCCTAGGAGAGGCACCAAATTAGTTAACACTCCTGAGCACCTGCTGTCATTCAGCCAGCGATAAGACTGTCCTGGTGTGGGGAGGAGAAATGGTGATGAAGCTGTAACCAGAACTCCAAGGCCCTGCTGGCTGGGGCACAGGACAAGGAGGAGGCTTGCGGGACTGATAAGGTCCATAGATCAGGGGCTAGGAGGCTCATGTGAAGGCTGCAGTAGTGGTCTTTAAGCTCTTTTTGCTGATGTATTGACTGAAAATGTATACTTTCAGTCTTATAAAAGAGTGGCTCTCTTTTATAAGATACTATCCAAAATTACTTGAAAATATTTGCAAAGGACGTAGTTTCCAGCACATTTCAAATGTTGCCCTTTAAAAAATAAAAACAAAAATACTCTTAAGTGTATTCAGTGGAATCTAAATATTGCCATTTGATAGTCACTGGTTTTTTTTTTTTTTAAAAACAAATGTCAAGTGCTTTTTATTTTGCATATGAGAACCACCTGTTTGAATGTGCAATACACTATAAACAGCATATGCCAGTGCTCATGTACAGCAAAGCACAAGTACCTTGAGGCTTACTTTACTATCAGTGCAGTTTCTTTTGTGGTAAGGGGTGATGGCCTCTATTGATAATAATTTGATTTTGATCACTAAATGACTTCTGGGAGGAGAGTGGCCTGGAGGTCAGGCTTAGGTGTCAGCTCCTCCTTTGACTCTAGCTGGAATTAAGACCCCAGCAAAGTAATTTAACCTCTCTGGGTTTCAGTCACGTTATCCATGCATTAGGAAGCTAATCAGAATGTTGATTAATGTTACCAATTTTTTTTTTAATTATACACCCCCTTTGAGTATCTCATGAATACTAGTGATCTTTTTTCCAAAAAATGCACAGATGATTAAGCACAGAAAATTGTGAAGCATTTATCAGAGGATTCACAGATGTGCACAAGGTCCCTTCATCCTTCCTTTTTAAATACTGTGAAGAAACCTAAGTTATACATCAGGTTTTTTAAATTAAACTTATATTTTCTTTGCATTTTCCACATACAGTTTTGTCTTAAATGCAAATCTCTTACTGGTTAGCCTGTCATATGCCTCTGTAACTAAAATATGTATAATAATTTAAACTTTTTTACTTTCTTGGGATCTTGAACTAAGTTTTAATATTTTCTTTGGGCTTATTATAATAATTAGTACACAATTGATCAAAATAAATGCATCACACTTTACACAAATTTTGAATAATTATACAAAAGTAAATTGACTGAGGGGCCTCCCTGGTGGCGCAAGAGGTTAAACATCAGCACTATGAAGCAATCCACAGCTATTGCAGCACGAGTTTGATCCCCGGCCAGGGTGGTGACCCACATAGCACAGCAGACCTCTCCTGCTTTGCCCGCTGCTCCCCTCAGCAGTGTATTTCGTCAGTCTGCCTGTTCTGTTCCCCACTCTGTCTCTGGTGATTCCTCTCACACACACACACCCCCCCCCCCACACCTCTGGCCTATACCCCAGTTATATGCATAAATAAATCTTTATAAAAACAATTGATTGAAATGCAGCTCAATGAGATGTCCCCTCCCCCTCCTCTGGAGGGGTGTGTATGGTCAGAATGAGGCATGCTTCAGCACCATTGCTGCTCTCTGCTTTTATAGATGTGAACACTGAGAAACTGCTTCATTAAATAAATAGCAGCTAGAGTGCAGGGCATTTTGTTATAACAAGGTTACTCAGTATTTTGAACTTATTTTAGTTTATAAACCTAAGTCATGTTGTGATCATTCATCAAAGTGTTCTCTATGTATCAGCTGACTCTTGGATTAGTTCCAGCCTGTCCCTCACCTGCTTCAACTCTATAGTCTTTTTTTTATGTTGTCTGTATCTTGGTCTTTCTGTGCACTGATCTACAGTTTTCCATCTGGTCCATGGAGACTTTCTAGGGTCTGGAGAGTCTGGCGTTCTGAACTTCCTGGTGTACTCTTTCTTGAAACTGATCTCCCTGTGAACATGCAGGGACACCTGAGGGATGAGGGTAGGGTTTCCTACCCCCAACCCCACATTCCTAATCATCCCCCTGTAGGAAGGCACAGCTCACCCCAGCTGGGGCTGTCACCTCAGGCCTTGTTCCCAGGTACCCTGGGCTCTGGAGAGACATTTTGAAACCTGGTTTCTGGGTTGACTTTTGTGTAGGTGAGAGATATTAATTATTTTTTTCAACTGTAGTTTAGTTTCATCAGCATCAGGGAACATAACTCTGATTCTAGTCCTTGGAGATCTGCTGAGACCTTTTGGGCAGGTCTTTTGCAGAGTGCTGTGTCCTTGCAAAGAACTCGATTCTCCACCAGGTGAGCGCAGTGTGCCCTGGGCCCTTAGATCAAGTTGCTTGTTGGGTTCAAATCCTTCCTGACACTTTCGTCTTGTTTTCATCAGTTACTAAAAGAAGTGTGTTAACATTTCTGGGTTTGGACTTGTCTTTGTAGTTCTGTCAGTTTCTGCTTTATGCATTTTGAGGTCAAATTAGGTAATACGGAAACTGAGCTCTATTAGATCTTCATGGTAAGTAGAGTCTCGTCATTTCGAAGAGTTCCCTTCTACACAGTGGTTGGTATAGCTGCACGAGCTTGCTTTTGGTCGCCCTTTGTGAGCCAGACCTTTTTCTGTCCTTTTCCTGTTTCTGTTGTAGAGTTCTCTCTTCTTTAGAGCATATATTTAGGCTTTGTGGGTTATTTTGTTTATTTTTATTGTGGTAAAATACATAGAACAAGTTTACCATTTTAAGCCTTTCTTTTTGTATACTTTTAAATCATTTAACTTGTGAAACCATTCATTCCTTTTTTTTTTTTAAAGATTTATTTATTTATTTATACAAGCACTGGGTACAGTCAGAAGCACGGGAGGGTGAGAGAATTCACCAGAGCCAGAGCGAGGAGCAAAGCAGGCAGAAGACTGAAGTACACTGCTGAGGGGAGCAGTGGGTGGCAGGAGAGGTCTGCGCACCATGTGGGACCCTCCTCCAGTGGCTGGGGAGCAGCCGGGGATTGAACTGGTGCTTCAGAGGCTGCAGGCAGCTTCGCAACCCAGCGCTCAACCGCTGCGCCACTGGGGAGGCCCGAAACCATTCATTCTTATCAGTGGGATGCTCATTGGCATTGAGACAATTTTTTTTAAAATGTAATGACCACCAACAGAAAATGAGTTTTGATTATATCTACACATGTGAAAGAAAA